GGCGCAAGATACCCTGGGGTGCCACATAAATCTACAAACCATTCAGAAATAATATATATATATATATATATATATATATATATATATATATATCATCAAAGTTCAGTTTCCTATTGTGGAATTTTTTTATTTGATGACATATTGCTACTGCTTGGATAAATCAAAATGGTCAAAGTGACAGTGGCTGTATGTTATTGAGCAAAAACACATGAAGAAAATATTATTTGCTGTTTCATTGCATTGAAGACAACTGTTATTTTAAAAAGACTTTTTTTTAATGTGAGGCACATTATAAAGTGTATATGGTTATTTAATATAATTTAAAGAGAACTTGGTATACTAGTTAGAATCACATGATATCCAAATCTATGTATTACATGTTGATGATGTATGTTACATGTAGAAAAGGGTTGAATGTACAATCATTATGATTAATTTCAGGCTATACAATGAGACCAGTAGTGCCAGCAAAGAACTATGATGTTGTGTCTTTTGCTCGTGCCATGAATGATGACTTTGCACCCAGGGTACAGAAACTGTCCGAGCCAGAAACTCATGCAGCTATTATAGCTCAAAGAACAGGCAGGTTAAAAGTGACCTGAACTGGGCTAGTTCTAGAGCAGATTTGCTTATTTATATGCTAGTTTATGCACATTCAATATTATATTTGGTTACTTTTGATGCCAAGTGTAATTTTTTTTATAAATGAACTCTGAAAAACATTAGATCTATGAATTTTAGGAAATGCAATTTTGTAAAAATATTGTTCTAAACAAAAACAACTAACACAGTGTTTTTTTGTATGAATATTATGTTAACACTGTTTGCTGCACCACAGCCAGTCTAGTTGTACATTGAGGGTGAGTAAACTTGTGAGACCATTTTGATAATATGTATGATATAAGAAATTCATGTTACAAATTGCAAGATTAGTATGTTTTACTAACCTTGATTTTGAATTTTAGGCATATACATTGGTTGGCGCTGTCCAGAATTCAAGCATGATTGTCAAAGGGTCGGTGACATGTCCAAATGCTTTTGTGGACACCTGCTTGGTGAACATGACAAATATACAGGTGTGTCTTAGTGCACCTTTACAATTATACATAGAAGTTAAGTTTACACTAACCAAGCCTTGTCTGATATTTATGCTCAAGAATACACTTTTTTTTTATAAAGAAACACTATTGACAAATGTGAATTATTGACAATTTTGGAAATGTTTCATATTCAAAAGATGGTAGCACAAAACATGATACAGTAAGAGAAAATTACCGAAACCATTTACCTAAAAATACTATTATTAACAGTCATTCATTAAATTTTACGTTATTTCATTGTAGGACGCAGTATTCAAGTGCCATGCAAGTTTGGAGGTTGTCCTTGTAAAGCTTTTGCATGGATACCCTCCCGTCCTGAAGATATTGGAGAGTTTTGGTTCCAGAGAAGACGTGACTTTGATGTCACCAAGTGGAGGGCAAAGTGTAGATGTAAACATACACATGAGGCACATGCAGCTACTGGAGGGCGGCAGTGCAAGGCCAAAGGTACAGTTTCTGGAGACAAATAACCTATTTTCCTTCCAACATAAGATCAAATGGTTTAAATTTTCTACAGCCTCAGTATGTTATTTTCTGGTTAGAATTTCAGTCCATTAGCCCAGTCTCTACATATATTTAAATGTAAGTAAATCAAGAAAATTTTAATGAATGTTCCACAGTGTATTGCTTATTTAATTATTGCCTGGATGGTTTAGAGGTGGCAATTTACAAAATTTGAATTTATATTTGAATATTATTTTCATTTTGGTGTTTCTTTTCAGGTTGTTCATGTTTTCATTTCAATTCTAATTTTTTGTGTGCTGCATGTGATCGTCACTGGGAGGACCATGAAACATTCTTTGAGACAGAAGACATGAGAAAGATGAATGGGCTGCCCTATGGTAAGAATACAGGGTTCAATTTTGATTAATTAATCTTATAAGGAGAAGCTTTATATCAAGGTTATATATAAGAGAGGCACACACCAAAATTTAGAACGATTTAAGGTGCCTCTCCTATACTGATGTTATCCACTAGATGTTTGTAGTTTTATCTTTGCCTTTTATATTACTTCACACCTTTAAACAAGTTTTTTTCCTTCATTTTTAGTCTACACTTGTCAAATTAATACTTGTGCTAAAAGAGGCTAGATTCTTGCCAAATGCTTGAGTATTAAGAAAAATAAAAATATTGAAATATTTTGCCTTTTATCTTTACTTCTTCAAAGCAATGAAAATAAATGACAAAATATTCATGCCACAACTTGCCACAAAATCACCTCCAAAAAGACAGGTAGATGATGAATATATGTCAAAACATCTGTCTCAAAAGCACACTCTTTGTAAACTTTCATTTACAACTTTTTCCTAGGTGAAGACTACCTACCATTTGCAGAGATGCCTAATTTGAGGAATGCTGCCCTGACTGGGGATGAGTATGATGAATCCCTGTACCAGGCACTAACTACAGGACAGGGGAGACCTGCCATTACATCTAACCCACCAGCTGATAACAACACCCCTGTTCCTTTTGGTCAGAACAGAAGTGGATTTAGGCCAGTATATGATTAAAAACTCATAAGAATCACTGTTTTTATTGAAAAAAATATATGGATATTTGAAAAAGAGGATTGCTCTTGATAAAGGATGAGAACTATTGCTGGGGGTTGTGATGTGTCTTCTAAATTACTCAGTTTTTGGTGAACGAGTAGAATAAAAAGCATCATGTTTTCTCATTGGAATCAAATATTGAAAGAACTGAGACCTTGCATTTAAAATGTCTGAATATTGTGACAATATTGTAAACCCTATGGAGTTGATGTGTAAGTTAAAATAGTTAACAGTTATACAGACATCATAATGGCTTTTTTATAATTATCACATATTATAGCTTTTTTGATGAAGCTATTTATTTTATCTGACAGCAGGTATTTTTATGTGTGAATGTATGATAATTATTATGATAAGGCATGGTATGGAATTTTTTTCTTGAATTTACTTTGCTTGATATATTCATATGGGAATCAATATGGTCATTTAATCTTTTCCCACTTTAATATTTACTGTGGATGTATAGATATTCATCAAATTATTTTTCCAAATTGACATATGTAAAATATAATTATATGATATATTATATCAAAATAAATGCTAATTTTGAAGGTTTCCGCCATTGGCTTTTCTCGGTATTATTTCCAGATTTCCTTATTTCCTCTTTGATTTATTGACTGCATTGTTTCTTTGATGTGTCACTGTATGATGATTGACAAATGATGACTTGCTTTCAGTGCACAACATCATGATGCAATCCCCATAACACATCAAACAAAAACATTAATAGCTTAGCCTATTTCAGTCAAATAATAAATGTGATGATGCATTGCCATTAGGAAGGAATGTGGAACACAAAAATGCTGGCAAAAATATGCTTGGTGCAATATTGTTAAAGAGGCAATGTAGTCAGTCAAAGAGAGAAAGAGGTAGGCAATTCTCAAAATTAAATTGAGGAAGGCCTTTATCGGAAACACTTTAAAGTGGTTTTTATTTTTATATGATAAATAGAATTTATTTAAAATTAGTTATTGGCCAAGCATAGTGTAATATCCGTCCATTCCACTGGCTATGTTTCTGTGATAGTGTTCCTTGAAGTTAAATAGTATTTTTTAACTTCAAACTTCAATTTATGAATTCTTTTATTTTTTATGTGAAATAAAAATGCTATTTATGTAATTTTAAAACTTATTTGTTATTTTCTGCAACTTTTATTCAGTGTGCAGTAGGTTTATATTGTTTTATTATAAAGACGATGAAATATGCTGCTAAGTAGTGCATGAAAAGAACACTGGAATATAATTTCTTTTTGAAAGGAAAACAATTAATTGCTAGACAGGCACTTTAGCAAAAATATCTAGAGTAAAAATTAATGATTTTTCGAAACAAAAGGCAATTGTAACCTTAACTTTACAGAATGTTGGAAAAGATTAAAGGACAGCAGGTTGCAAAGGGACTATGGCCTTTTTCATAGAGAGTGGATTTTACAGTATTGAAATACTTAGAGATATTGATAACTTGATAGCCAGACTGTTAAATAGAGTCACCTAAGTAGAACATAGCTAAACACAGCCAGCTAGCTGGATTTATTTTGAATGGTACATTACCTTGTAGAAATCTGGTAAAACAGTTGGAAGCAAACTTGTGAAAGAGAGTACCATCCCCCCCCCCCCAACTACTGTAGGGTAATTGCATGTTAGGCCAGTATAAATTTTTCAATATCTATCTATATCTATCTGTATATCTATCTATCTATCTATACACACACACACAAACACAAAAACACACACACACACTGCTTATTGAAAATGACCTATGACGATATCTCATATTAACCACCTAATATGTGATATAGTAAGTTAATTAGTAACCCCAGTGTAGAAGCTCAAAGTGTATGTTGGAGAGGTGTGTTATCATGCTGTGATGAGCAAATATAGGATGACACTGTATCAACTATGTTGACTTTACAGAAGAGATGGCACGGGATCAGTAAGGAGTTTCTTCAGTCACAGTTTAAATTACTGATACATGTTGAAAAGGAGTCACAATTTGTTGGATAACAGGTGAAGTAATTTATCTGTTCAGACCGTGCTTTCTGCAGATATATATGTGATCTGTCTTCTACAATGGAGTGTTGGTGTAGTATACAGTGGAGGCAGAGCTTCATGCTACTAGCTGTGTTCATGTTATGGTTTAGCAGTGGGGCTTGTCAAGGTTAGTACTATTATCTTTAACATGATATCAAAAATAATTAAAGGGACAGTACATGGATATTTTGTGGCTATAAATCTTCTACATAGACTGTTTATTGAATTTTTCAAAACCCTGAACTCCATACTCCTGCTGAAAAATACATTTTGACATGAAGTGAGATTGGTCTGGTCCCAGTAGATGATTCTTAAAGACCCCAGGAAATTTTTGCTACCTGTAATTTTTTTTCATCAAAATCAAAAATACTCACTTCAACTAACTGTTTGTTATTAACCTATTATAAAATGGGAGGAATGTTGCTAAGAGTAGATAGTTCACAGATAATTTAATGACTTGTAGCTTACAAAGGAAAACTTTTCCCAGACAAGCAGACAAAGTTGTTGTTTTTTTTTTTTTTTGGGGGGGGGGGGGGGGGAGAGGGGTAGATACTGAACTTTGCCAGGGGATGGGAGTGGAGTTTACAAAGTAAAGATGTTGCTAAGAGTAGATAGTTCACAGATAATTTAATGACTTGTAGCTTACAAAGGAAAACTTTTCCCAGACAAGCAGACAAAGTTTGTTTTTTTTTTTTTGGGGGGGGGGGGGGCGGGGGTAGATAGTGAACTTTGTTGGGGATGGGGGTGGGGTTTACAAAGTAAAGATGGGAAATGATGTTTTACTGCTNGTATTTTTGTATGAATATTATGTTAACACTGTTTGCTGCACCACAGCCAGTCTAGTTGTACATTGAGGGTGAGTAAACTTGTGAGACCATTTTGATAATATGTATGATATAAGAAATTCATGTTACAAATTGCAAGATTAGTATGTTTTACTAACCTTGATTTTGAATTTTAGGCATATACATTGGTTGGCGCTGTCCAGAATTCAAGCATGATTGTCAAAGGGTCGGTGACATGTCCAAATGCTTTTGTGGACACCTGCTTGGTGAACATGACAAATATACAGGTGTGTCCTAGTGCACCTTTACAATTATACATAGAAGTTAAGTTTACACTAACCAAGCCTTGTCTGATATTTATGCTCAAGAATACACTTTTTTTTTTATAAAGAAACACTATTGACAAATGTGAATTATTGACAATTTTGGAAATGTTTCATATTCAAAAGATGGTAGCACAAAACATGATACAGTAAGAGAAAATTACCTAAACCATTTACCTAAAAATACTATTATTAACAGTCATTCATTAAATTTTACGTTATTTCATTGTAGGACGCAGTATTCAAGTGCCATGCAAGTTTGGAGGTTGTCCTTGTAAAGCTTTTGCATGGATACCCTCCCGTCCTGAAGATATTGGAGAGTTTTGGTTCCAGAGAAGACGTGACTTTGATGTCACCAAGTGGAGGGCAAAGTGTAGATGTAAACATACACATGAGGCACATGCAGCTACTGGAGGGCGGCAGTGCAAGGCCAAAGGTACAGTTTCTGGAGACAAATAACCTATTTTCCTTCCAAAATAAGATCAAATGGTTTAAATTTTCTACAGCCTGAGTATGTTATTTTCTGGTTAGAATTTCAGTCCATTAGCCCAGTCTCTATATGTGTTTAAATGTAAGTAAATCAAGAAAATTTTAATGAATGTTCCACAGTGTATTGCTTATTTAATTATTGCCTGGATGGTTTAGAGGTGGCAATTTACAAAATTTGAATTTATATTTGAATATTATTTTCATTTTGGTGTTTCTTTTCAGGTTGTTCATGTTTTCATTTCAATTCTAATTTTTTGTGTGCTGCATGTGATCGTCACTGGGAGGACCATGAAACATTCTTTGAGACAGAAGACATGAGAAAGATGAATGGGCTGCCCTATGGTAAGAATACAGGGTTCAATTTTGATTAATTAATCTTATAAGGAGAAGCTTTATATCAAGGTTATATATAAGAGAGGCACACACCAAAATTTAGAACGATTTAAGGTGCCTCTCCTATACTGGTGTTATCCACTAGATGTTTGTAGTTTTATCTTTGCCTTTTATATTACTTCACACCTTTAAACAAGTTTTTTTCCTTCATTTTTAGTCTACACTTGTCAAATTAATACTTGTGCTAAAAGAGGCTAGATTCTTGCCAAATGCTTGAGTATTAAGAAAAATAAAAATATTGAAATATTTTGCCTTTTATCTTTACTTCTTCAAAGCAATGAAAATAAATGACAAAATATTCATGCCACAACTTGCCACAAAATCACCTCCAAAAAGACAGGCAGATGATGAATACATGTCAAAACATCTGTCTCAAAAGCACACTCTTTGTAAACTTTCATTTACAACTTTTTCCTAGGTGAAGACTACCTGCCATTTGCAGAGATGCCTAATTTGAGGAATGCTGCCCTGACTGGGGATGAGTATGATGAATCCCTGTACCAGGCACTAACTACAGGACAGGGGAGACCTGCCATTACATCTAACCCACCAGCTGATAACAACACCCCTGTTCCTTTTGGTCAGAACAGAAGTGGATTTAGGCCAGTATATGATTAAAAACTCATAAGAATCACTGTTTTTATTGAAAAAAATGTATGGATATTTGAAAAAGAGGATTGCTCTTGATAAAGGATGAGAACTTTTGCTGGGGGTTGTGATGTGTCTTCTAAATTACTCAGTTTTTGGTGAACGAGTAGAATAAAAAGCATCATGTTTTCTCATTGGAATCAAATATTGAAAGAACTGAGACCTTGCATTTAAAATGTCTAAATATTGTGACAATATTGTAAACCCTATGGAGTTGATGTGTAAGTTAAAATAGTTAACAGTTATACAGACATCATAATGGCTTTTTTATAATTATCACATATTATAACTTTTTTGATGAAGCTATTTATTTTATCTGACAGCAGGTATTTTTATGTGTGAATGAATGATGATTATTATGATAAGGCATGGTATGGAATTTTTTTCTTGAATTTACTTTGCTTGATATATTCATATGGGAATCAATATGGTCATTTAATCTTTTCCCACTTTAATATTTACTGTGGATGTATAGATATTCATCAAATTATTTTTCCAAATTGATATATGTAAAATATAATTATATGATATATTATATCAAAATAAATGCTAATTTTGAAGGTTTCTGCCATTGGCTTTTCTCGGTATTATTTCCAGATTTCCTTATTTCCTCTTTGATTTATTGACTGCATTGTTTCTTTGATGTGTGACTGTATGATGATTGACAAATGATGACTTGCTTTCAGTGCACAACATCATGATGCAATCCCCATAACACATCAAACAAAAACATTAATAGCTTAGCCTATTTCAGTCAAATAATAAATGTGATGATGCATTGCCATTAGGAAGGAATGTGGAACACAAAAATGCTGGCAAAGATATGCATGGTGCAATATTGATTAAGAGGCAATGTAGTCAGTCAAAGAGAGAAAGAGGTAGGCAATTCTCAAAATAAAATTGAGGAAGGCCTTTATCGGAAACACTTTAAATTGGTTTTTATTTTTATATGTGAAATAGAATTTATTTAAAATTAGTTATTGGCCAAGCATAGTGTAATATCCGTCCATTCCACTGGCTATGTTTCTGTGATAGTGTTCCTTGAAGTTAAATAGTATTTTTTAACTTCAAACTTCAATTTATGAATTCTTTTCTTTTTTATGTGAAATAAAAATGCTATTTATGTAATTTTAAAACTTATTTGTTATTTTCTGCAACTTTTATTCAGTGTGCAGCAAGTTTATATTGTTTAATTATAAAGACGATGAAATATTCTGCTTAGTAGTGCATGAAAAGAACACTGGAATATAATGTCTTTTTGAAAGGAAAACAATTAATTGCTAGGCAGGCACTTTAGCAAAAAATATCTAGAGTAAAAATTAATGATTTTTCAAAACAAAAGGCAATTGTAACCTTAACTTTACAGAATGTTGGAAAAGATTAAAGGACAGCAGGCTGCAAAGGGACTATGGCCTTTTTCATCGAGAGTGGATTTTACAGTATTGAAATACTTAGAGATATTGATAACTTGATAGCCAGACTATTACCTAAGAGAGTCGCCTAAGTAGAACATTGTTAAACACAGCCAGCTAGCTGGATTTATTTTGAATGGTACATTACCTTGTAGAAATCTGGCAAAACAGTTGGAAGCAAACTTCTGAAAGAGAGTACCCCCCCCCCCCCCCCCAACTACTGTAGGGTAATTGCATGTTAGGCCAGTATAAATTTTTCAATATCTATATCTATCTATCTATCTATACACACACACACACACACACACACACACTGCTTATTGAAAATGACCTATGACGATATCTCATATTAACCACCTAATATGTGATATAGTAAGTTAATTAGTAACCCCAGTGTAGAAGCTCAAAGTGTATGTTGGAGAGGTGTGTTATCATGCTGTGATGAGCAAATATAGGATGACACTGTATCAACTATGTTGACTTTACAGAAGAGATGGCACGGGATCAGTAAGGAGTTTCTTCAGTCACAGTTTAAATTACTGATACATGTTGAAAAGGAGTCACAATTTGTTGGATAACAGGTGAAGTAATTTATCTGTTCAGACCGTGCTTTCTGCAGATATATATGTGATCTGTCTTCTACAATGGAGTGTTGGTGTAGTATACAGTGGAGGCAGAGCTTCATGCTACTAGCTGTGTTCATGTTATGGTTTAGCAGTGGGGCATGTCAAGGTTAGTACTATTATCTTTAACATGATATCAAAAATAATTAAAGGGACAGTACATGGATATTTTGTGGCTATAAATCTTCTACATAGACTGTTTATTGAATTTTTCAAAACCCTGAACTCCATACTCCTGCTGAAAAATACATTTTGACATGAAGTGAGATTGGTCTGCAGGTGCTATCCCCAGTAGATGATTCTTAAAGACCCCAGGAAATTTTTGCTACCTGTAATTTTTTTTCATCAAAATCATAAATACTCACTTCAACTAACTGTTTGTTATTAACCTATTATAAAATGTTGCTAAGAGTAGATAGTTCACAGATAATTTAATGACTTGTAGCTTACAAAGGAAAACTTTTCCCAGACAAGCAGACAAAGTTTGTTTTTTTTTTTTTTTTTTTTGGGGGGGGGGGGGGAGGAGGGGTAGATAGTGAACTTTGCCAGGGGATGGGAGTGGAGTTTACAAAGTAAAGATGTGACATGATGTTTTACTGCTAGGTTTGACAATTATATGGAAAGTTCCTAATGCCTTTAGCACAGATACAGTGTGACACCCCTTGCAGGTAACACTAATGTAAGATTAGATGTGGGGAGTTGTATCTGCTGTCTGACATTTGATATGGCATTGTTTACTTACACTTAAACTGAACAAGTGGAATGCAATATGCTGCAAAAATACAACTTTAGTGGGAGAAAGTTGTTCTATTTTTTGTTTTGATTTTGATGTCAATATCAGATAAATGGGGATTGCTGTTATGAATTGTGGAGTACAAATATGTGTTTGTCTTTGATGAGATAACACTAAGCTTCTTTGTAAACAATGTTCAAATTGTCATCATGTCTATCTCTGGGCCACAGAAGACTACTATGAGAGTGGTAATGACTTGATTTTGTGTTTAAGGGACCATTCCCATACCCTATCATACTAACTGTGGATCAATCTATCTCTAGATTGCAATCAACTTAAGCAATTATTGCTACATTGCAATCAACTTAAGCGGGTTACCAGTAGATGTCTGACATGCCTACTGAAGCGGCAAGGGAGTAATTTATTATCATTTAGCAGCTTCAGTAGGCGTGCCAGACATCTAACACCCCATTTCCATAGATTAGATCAACCTTCTTTAGATCGACCTAACTCCCTGGGGGTTCACGCTAAATAGCTGTCAGCCGGGCGGACACGAAAGTTAATTATCCCCTTACAGCTTGAAGTAGGCGGGACGGACATTTAAGTCGGATTATCTGAAAGTGAGACTCCCTGCGGGGATAGATCGATCTAAAATCTATGGGAATAGAGCCTAAGCCACTTAAGCTGAAAGCAATTTAGCGAGAAAACCCCTTGGAGATGGATCGATCCTGTTAGATCGATCTAAGTATGGGAACCCAGTCTTAGCTGGCAAGGCATCTTTGATGGTGATAAACACTGTAGGATTATTTAACACTGCTTTATGTTATTTATGCACAAAAAACTTTAACAGTTAGGTAACAAATTGGCAAAAATGAAGTGCAGAATCGTGACTTCACTTGAAAATGAAGTGGTATTTAACTTTCCCTCTTATCAGGTTTTCTAGATTTCTTATTGAAGTCCGGCCACCACTACATGTATATATCAATTGTTTAAGTGGTGGTTTTCTCAATTGCAGGGTTAGGTGTTATTTACATATTTCAAACAAGCTGTAAAGATCTATAACCTTGTTACTTTATTTTCAGTGCAAAACCCAATTAATTGTGATTTTGAAAGTGGCACTTGCAATTGGATCCAGGATACTTCTGACAATTTTGATTGGAGCAGAAACAAGGTGGACACACCTACCATGATCTCAGGCCCACCTACTGATCATACCAAGAAAACTAAATGTAGGTTCTTATTAATTAAGAAAATATAAATCTGAACATTAGTGTCATCTGTGCATATGTAAAAATGACTTATTACACAAGTACAAGTTTCATAAATAATACGTTGCATCTTGGACAAGTAAAATGTTTTATTCGGTCCAAGATGCTGCAATTTTTTTCAAGATAGCATGCAGACATAAAAAATGTTTCTGAAAATTGCTGGTTTATATATTTCAAATGTAACTTATGCTGTCTTAGTATAAGTTCATTGGTGGTGTGGAATTATGTTGTACACTGCATACATAACCTGGAACTCGCAGAAAAAAAGGGCGGGGGGGGGGGGGGGGCTATTCTGCCTTACTTCAGGCAGTGTTCACTATGAGACTGATACCCTAAAATTGTCTTATGTCACAACCAGACAAAAACATTAGACGAGAATTGCAGGCCCAGGATTTTGCTTGGTAGTAAGGTGTAGGTGTCACTTAGGTTGTTTATCTGAATTGCTCTATGTGTCATGTTTACTTGTAGTAACAAATTTAATTCAGGAAAGCAAGCTGGAGTGGAGATTGGAGGGGGTCAGCCAATGATAAGGACTCCTACCATTATTGTACATCACATGTACAAACACATCTTTCTAGGAAATTTTATTGATCTTGTAATTGATTTTATTTGAGAATATTGCTATTTTTTTTTAATCACAATCTTTGAAAATAATTTTTGATTTTTAAAATGTATCTTGATAAGTGTGTTTTTGTGTACTTGTATTTGTGTAAAGTACACTAAACACTTTAAAATGGATTTAAGACTTTTAACAAATATATTGTTATTATTATATTATGCTTAGCCATTTATTTCTCTGATGAATGTGGAATTATTTGTGATTTAAATTAATCCTGGTGTAAAAAGAGCCTGCACCACTTTTTTAAAGGAAGTTGCTCTGAAAATTATAGTAACAGGTATACATCTGATAACAATGATATCTTGCTTTTTGTCATTTATTTAAGTCGATTTTCCTTTTCCTTACTAAATAACATGTTACATATTGTGGCTCCAGAGATTAGGATATGTGCAATTTTTTATCAAAATTATCCTACATTGATTCCAGTGCTCAATATCTTTTTTGGTTTTGATATTGTCACTAGATGGATGGCAAAGATATCAAAATGTTGAAAGGTATCTGCATTAAAATGATAATAACCACTAAAATCAGCATTGCTTGGTCACTCTATAGATATAAATTGGTTTCATAATTACTGTATTCTCAGGTCTTCAGTTTTCTCTCACTTAAAAGATAACTCAAAGATAATCTCTAACAGAAATCTTTTTATTTTCTTCAGATGGACATTATATGTACATAGATAACAGGGATGGGTCATATCCACAGGATGTTGCTAGGCTTCTATCGCAACCAATAACAGTGACAGGGAATAAAACCTTTTCAGTTTGGATACACAAGAATGGTAAAGGAAATGTGACATTATACATTCAGTATTTGAACGACACCAGACGAGCGTTATGGCACTACACAAATAATACAGGGGAAAGTTGGATACAAATGAAACAAGGTCTACCTGAGGGTTCATACAGGGTGAGCTATCAAGGTGTTTAAATACTCCCTTTCAAAATTATTCATACATTCAATTTATTTGATGTTGGATTTTCATTTCCAGCATATTTTTGTCAAAACCTTATGTTGCTGTCAATTTTTAAATTCTGATGTGTCTTAAAAGTCAACCCAAGCTTTAACAGAACATTTGACTGAAAAACTTATTTTGTATCTTGCAGTTATCCATTGAGGGAAATACTTTGAATGGGCTTAGAGAAGGGGACACTGCAATTGATGACACTGCTCTATTAGATGAATTTGTCTGTAAGAATTACAATTCACTGAACATTACATTATTTCTTTCCCAAATATACCACTCAAAAAGTAAGATTTTGTATGAGCCAATTTCACAAAACATCCCATCTTTGAGAATGAGCACACAAGCTAGTACACACTAATTTCATGGGACTCTCACTGAATGCAGTCAGGTTAACAGACTAAGGCCGCATTCACATTGAGTTGAGCCATGGCTGTACAAAGCCACGACCTAAATATGGCGGACGTACATGAAAGGAAAACCGCCTAATCTTTTAATAGTCTCTCCACCTCTCACACACCTCTGCATGTGTCATCCCAATGGAGCCGAGATTTAATGACTCTACCCCCGCAGGGACGACGCCATGTAGAGCCATGGCTCAACTCGATGTGAATGCGGCCTAATTATTACGACTCACCTTGTTTCCAATGTACTCGTATAACCATCAGCTTAAATGGATAACAATTCTTTGTATGAAAGTCATATTTCATGATAAATACATAGTAAACAACTCATTGAAATATCATAAATTCATTTCACCACCAGAACAGTGGTTATTGCAGTTATTCTGGAATTTGTGTTTGCCATAAGATCACATGGAACTTCATAGATGGCTATATACCCCTTTAATACACTTTTAAGAGATTATTACAAAAAAAAAAAAAATTTAGGGAAAAACTTGAACTAACTTTGAATGTAGGAATGGATTCATTAACCATTCTTCAATATAGGAAAATCATAGTTTACCCTAGGAAAAATCAGTTTTTGCCACTTTATCACTTTATTCTGCTTAAGGCCAGAAGGAGCTGTGTTAGTCTGTTAATATGATTGCATTCAGCCAGATTCCACATGGAGTAGGTGTGCACTAACTCATTCTGACCAACTCCTTTGACAGGCACATTGGACATGATCAAAGAGAGTTCATGAAAGACAACTTATGTTCACTACTGACCCATAGTACATGAAGTGCCTGATAGGAAGTCAGATGTGTCTTAGCTTAATGTTTATGGGGTTAAGTACTTAAGGAAATTAAGACATTTTTTCTGAGGCAAATTCAGCACTTTGTATAAGTGGGTGTGGAGTGTGCTTGCAAAGAACTGCATTAGCATAACCATCTGCTAACATTCAATAAATTTGGATTTTGTGCTTGAAATCAAGCAATCCCTGGCCAGCAGATTGCAATTTCTTATTAAAAAATGGCATAAAACAGAAATGATTATTCAGTGTCTGTTTATATTTTTAGCAGAGACAACTCCACGTACAACCCCAAGTACTTCTGCACCACTTCCTGCCACTGCAGACTGCCATTTTGACCAGAACTATTGCAACTATAACTTGTACATATCTGACCATGGCCACACATGGGTTAGGAAAAAAGGATCAACTGACACTTGGTGGACAGGACCAAGAGGAGACCATACCACTGGATCTGGTAATTCTTTTCAACATTTAACCTGTTGCAAAACTTTTATTTAGACTGATATTGTCTAAAATTAGCTAAGTAAAAATATAGCCTTTTGATTGTAGGTTACTTCATGTATTTGGAATCCAGTAAAACTCTTTTGATTGTAGGTTACTTCATGTATTTGGAATCCAGTAAAATGCCGGTGGGAGAAAAAATCTACATGTCTACTCCATACCTTGCACCCACTTCTGGCACCTGCCTCTCTGTTTGGTACCACATGAGAGGAAGACACATTGGGGCACTGAATGTCTATATCCAGAAAGGGGGTGACCCAGGGGCACCTGTTTTCTCTAGACAGGGTGATCAGGGAGCTAACTGGTATCAAGCTAAAGTGAATATTGAGTCAAGCAATCCATACCAGGTACTTTATATAGTAACAAAGGAATAGACCCTGTGAAAGTTATAGTGCATAATAAGAATAGTCTTGCTTTTCCTTGTTGTCATTCATAGACTTTCTCTGGGATCTTGTTTAAATCCAAGACCCAATATTTAAGTTTTAATGTAACATCTTTTTACTTAAGCATGATTTTAAGATAAAAAGAGGAACATAGATACATATAAAGTGATGAAGTTGCAGACCAGTCATGCAGTCATCTGTGAATACATGTAATAGGTACTTTTAGTTTGAGACAGCTGCATGGTATAACTGGCAACATTAACACAAATGTAACTTAATTGTATTTAACTTACAGATTGTATTTGAAGCAGAACGAGGAAGTGGTGGGGATCAGGGAGACATAGCTTTAGATGATGTAGTGTTTTCACCAGTAAAATGTGAGTTTTAAAGGACTGAAAAAAATTAGATTCTTTACATTTATATACAGGGTATCTATTCCTCGCAGCACAGGTATCAAATGTTTGCACATGAGCAGTAAGTTTTCATAGTGCTAGATTGTACAGTCATATCACCCCAAGGGAATCTCTTTCTATCTTTCTCCCTTCCCCCATCCTCCCCCCCATCAACTGACCTTTTAATTTTAACAAGAAGAGAAAGAATTTTCGAAAAGAATTTAACTTTGAATCATGTAGATATTAGTACTTATCTACCCACTTGGAAACTTCAGCACACTGCTTTTATTTCTAGTAAAGATGCCTTTTCTGAAAATGTAAAACTTCAAATTATTAAGAAATAAGTATTTAATTTACCCATTTGGAAATTTCAGCACACTTGTATCACACTGTGAATACGATCATCATCCTTATCATCATTATGATATTCAGTTTTTCAGGTCTCCAGTCCTGAACGAACCGGGTTGGACCTTTTCCCACATTTGGCTCTCCTCCATTCTTGTCTGTTACTCTGATACAATATCAGATATCATGGACACTGTGCATATTAACACAATTGCACTTACAGTGTAGTTTGAAACTGCCTGCAATCACATATATTTACTATGTTTTAGGTCCAGATCCAACAAAACCAACTTCCCCAGCTTTGCTGACTCTGAACTGTACATTTGACTCTGATATGTGTGGGTTCACCTCACTGAATAGGCCATCACTTTCAATCCATTGGTCCAGGACAGAGAGTCATGCCTTAGGAGGGGAAGGGGCCATTGTTGATCACACATCAGGGAAAGGTAGGAGGTTTATAGAATGTGAAGTATATGTATATAACATATGATAATTGTTACTAAGTCACACTTATTTGAGCTTTTTGAAACTTGTAAAAACAATCAGTATATATTGATTTTTAGATGAATTACTTGTTTCCTCAAAGCATGATATTTTATGAAAAGACAAAAATTAATAATTTTTAATTTTCTGATGGTCATGTAAGATATATTTTGTACTTGGCAGCATAAATATTTATATGGCATTAAGCATCCCTTTTGGACAGCAGCCACAGTAGATTTACTCCCACCCTTCTCTGTTTTCAGGTTTCTTCCTCATTGCTGATGCTGGCAAAGTGACCATGCCAGGAGAGGGCGCTGTGGTGTCCCCAGTTCTGAAAGCCAACCACGTCTGCCTTCAGTTTTATTATAGTATCTATGGCACTTCAGCACAGAGTCTGGTGGTACTGCAAAATGGACCTGATGGTGAGGGAGACAAACGCTGGGAACATGACAGCAACATGGAGAAGACTGGAGCATGGCGGCTGCAATACGTCCAGATGAAATCTAGAACTGACTTTCAGGTACCACTTAACATTTGTACACCTCATGCCTATCAACAAATGTCCCCAACTGAATTCTGAGCCAAGGTGAAGAATGAATTGATTACTTTCCATCTTCTATCCTGCTAGTATTACTAGTATTACTTAGTGCAAAAGCTTTAAAGTGTCATGCATCAGAGTCAAGAAAGGTTTGGCTGTAGAAGTTTTTTGATTTAAAGGTGTTTCTGTATATTTTGGAAATATATTTTTGTGCTGTGTGTTTGTGGCCTACAGGTTTATTGGTTGATATATCAAAAGACAAGACTAGTAATAATTTAGTCTGGAAAGGTTCAGCAACTTGAGACTAGTATGTGCTTAATAAAATGTGCAGTTCTTTAAAGATTATTTGTGTTTAGAGAACTTGTCAATGTGTGCATATTCATTTTTAAATTATCTATTTTTCTTTTTATCAGTTCACATTTGAAACCCTGCGTGGACCGCTTGGAGAAGGGTTCATTGCTATAGATGATGTCTTAACAACAGAAGGAAATTGTGAGTTTTAATGGTGATTTCTATAGTAGTTTGTTTTTAACCTTTTTCATTTAATTCATAGCAGCATTGTATATCTTATTTTGAATTCATTATCTCTTTGTGGAGACTAAACAATTGAGTCAGAATATTGATAGAACCTTGTGTTTATTTTATTTCAAGTTTTAGAACCGCTACTAAACTGCATTGTGTTTATCGTTTGAAGTCCTAAATTTTATATTTTAATGTGATGATTCAGTACCTTTCTACATGGTAGTTTAACCTGATAGTATGTGAGACGTGTTCTAATGAAATATATATCACAGTACTACATCTGTGTCAGTCACAGACAAATGATATTAACAAAGTTACCAGGGACTCCATTCTCTGTTATTTGTAAACTACATTTTCGTGGAACTTCACAAAAATGTCTGATTTATTTTACATATATGTCAGTACAGTGGTCTCAAATTGTGGATAATAAGTCCCTTGAGCACATGTCAGTTTCTGAAACAGAGGATCAGAAAAACTAGACATAGGAAATGCAGGCTTGAATAAAGACTTGATCTGTTTCACATGCCAGGTCCAGCCCTTACCACACCCAGCCAGGCCTCCACTCCAACTCCTAGTCCTATGTACCCAGTCTTCAGTTGTGACTTCACCAAAGATATGTGTGGTTTGACTGAGGACCCGTCAGTCAAGGAGTCCAGTCTGTACTGGAGGAGAGGTTCTGGGCTCTCTGTACAGTACTTCACACCAGGATCATCTAGTCCTAAACAGGAGGTGCTGCGTGGTAAATTTGTTTTCCATTCTTCCTTCTGCTCTAGAATTAAGGATTTTTTTATTAAATTGATAATGTGCAATTTTTCAAAGAGGTTTTTTATTTAAATTTGCAATTTAATTCCATTTAAAGGTAATTTCATCTACTTCAACGAAAGCACGGGCAAGGAGGTAGCAAGAATTGGATCTCCTTCATTCAAGGCTGGAGGGACCTTTGAGTTGGAATTTAGCTACAGAATCTTACAGCAGGAGGCCAACATCTCCACAGAGTTCTCTGTACTTGTCAAGGAGGGTCTTGGTGTTGCACATGCTAAATGGAAGATTCACTATGCTTCAGATACTTTGAGGAAAGGGGCTGTGAAGTTCACACCAAATGAAGATTTTATAGTATGTTATAATAACAGTTATTATTCAATGCACAGAGCATAGACAGACTTGTATGTGGACACTCATCAATAGATTCAACTGAAACATCATGAGCTTATTTTAAGCTGTTTATAAATACTGTTCTCTGTACCTCCTTTAATACAGATTAAAAAAAAACATGGGTAATTCGCAAAATACATAACTCAGAAATGTGTAATTGGCAAAATTATTTCATTTTTAACATAATTCTCATTAGAGTGGATGACAGACAGGTTTTTTTTTCTTTTTTCAGATTATATTTGAAGTTAGTCACAATGACCCAAAAGGTTTTGTTTTATTGGCCAATATAAAGTTGATTGGTAAATATCATTTATCAACAAAATTGAAATATGAAGTACTGATACATTTGATATTATATCACATTTTCATAAACTCTGTGAAGAATAATTAAATGCAACGACCTAAGTATTTAATACCTTTAAAAAGTAACTTTCCATTTTATCAAATCTGCACAAAAAACAGTTGCAATACTATTTAACCTACTATGAAAAAACTCAATTCAATCAGGTAAAATAAAATATATCCTACCAACTATTTTCTTTTAAGGTTCTGTTCAATCTCCAACAGCAATAGTTCCTCTCCACCCCAGCACATTGAGCTGTACATTTGATAAAGGAGTATGTGGCTTTACTCAGGACCCATCCACTAAAACACCTAGGCTCTTCTGGAAAAGAGCAGGAAACCTGACTCTGGTCTACTTGCCTCAGCCATTGCAGGACCACACATCTGGGAATGGTGTTTATTTTTCACAGTATTTTATTTAGCATAATGTAAAGATACTCTTGGATGTTTGAAGATGAGCACTTCAGTGGGAAAAACATAAAATTAAGAAATAAATCTTTCTTTAGTTTTTATTTTAACATAAATAATTGTGATTTTACTCACAAAAGTAAGATTATTTAATATTCACAAACATGCTTTTCTATATAGGCGATTTTATGTACTTTGGGGAAGCTATAACTAAAGAACAAGCACGGCTGCTGTCACCTACTATGAAGACAGTGGGAACAGTTCATCTGGAATTCTACTACAGGTTGATCCAGAATAAACAGTCAGCTGAGTTCTCAGTTCTGGTGAAGGAAGGTGTCAGTGATGAACATTCAGTCTGGAAGGCGAAGAATGTGGATGAGCAGTGGCAGAAAGGAGTTGTGGATTATAGTCCTACAGAAAATGATGTATACACAGTATGTAAATATACAGTAACTATTGTATGTATTTAGATGATGTGCTCATTGGATGTTATTAAAGAATTAATAATATTGGAGGGGGGAGAGAGAGAGAGAGAGAGAGAGAGATTCAATGTAAATGACTGAAAATAGCTTTCATTATATATTTTCAGATTATTTTCCAAGTGACTGAAAATCCATACCAGGGACTTGTTATTTTGGATGATGTGACACTGACAGGTATGTTTTCTGCTGGGTGTTTTATTTTATATTACTATGATGTAACAGTAATCCAGTACAAATTGACTCAACATTATCTTGATGATTTATTTAATCATATCTGTTTCTAAGTGAAAGTCCTACAGTATTTGCATTTGTTTATTGGACTTGAATGCTTGGTATGAAAATTCATTCACATGGCATCAATAAGTGTTTCATGTGATTTGACCCTTAAAGTTACATATAAATTTTTTTTAATTTTAAAATTCAAAAACATTTTAACATATTAATTTTGTGAGGACAGTGTTTCCTTGTTTATCTTCAATGCCATGTAAGAAACATTGTTGCAACAGTAACTATAAAATGATGCTCCTACTGGTTAAAACTCTAGCTTCCAATGGAACAACTTCTCCCACACCTGGAATACCTCAGGTTAACTTTGTTTGTGACTTTGACACTGATTGGTGTGGGCTACAGCAGGATTCTGGAGAGAGTAGCTCTGATGTCTGGCAGAGAGGGAGGGTGAGCCCAACTGGTGACCATACCACTGGAGAAGGTGGGGATAATGAACATTTGAATATGTGTTAATGTGTCTAATTTTGGATTAGCAATTTGGAATGTCATTAATCATGTTGATATTTCAATTTTTATGAAATGCTGCCCTTCATGCTGTCCTTCATGTGAATATTATGTATGCCATATGGTTTATGTATGATTTTGTAATATTATACATATTTTATTCAGGACTATGAGAACATCACATCTATAGGTCCCTAACCCTAACCCTAACCCTAACCCAGTAAGTTATCGTGTCAAGAACCACAAACAGAAATAAATTTTGTGATTTTACTGGTCATTTTAACACAAAACCATACGTTATTCTCACTGTTACTTTTCAGGTCAATCTGTTTATTTTGACCCCAGTAAAGCCAAGGAGAAAACAAAATACAGCCTGGTCACCCCCATGATTCAAGTGACTGGTACATCAATGTGTTTGGATATATTTCTACAGGGAGAACTGGCAGTGCTTAATTTGATAGTCAAAGAGAATGAGAAAGAGGAGTTGTTATCACCACTGCAGGCCAGGGGTGGGGATTGGCAAAGATTTTCAGTTTCTTTCAAGCCAAAGAGCAGTGTTTTTCAGGTAAAATGCAATTATCAGTATTTAATTAGCTTTGCCAACTAAACAGAAAAAAAATTATGTTTTTTTAAAATTTGGTGTACATCAGATGCAAGAGAATTAATTTGCTGGCCTCAGAAACTTTTGTGAGGTTTCACACCTGATATTTTTGCCTACGTATGTTTTTTATGATATGGGGAAAACTAACCTTGTTTCATCCATACATTTTTATTTAACATGGTTGATATAAAGTCTCACATTTCTTTCTAGTTTATCTTCGAGACCTTTGTTCCTGAAAACAGCCAACCTGGCATCCTTGCTATGGATGACATTTCTATCTCTCAAGGAGAATGTGAGATAATGTTTTTCACGATTTAAATAAAACCTGGGTTGGATTTCATTGATTCTTTTGATCAAGATGATTCTGAATACTATCTAACAAATAAGAGGATAATTCAATAGTTTAACTTTCAAAAGAAAAAATGTTAAAATAGTGTTTTGATGGAAAGATCCCAAATACAGTAATATCAATATGAGTATATTTTGTTATTATAATTTAATATTTTAAACATATTGTGTATGCCAATAATATATTTTCTTCAAACATTACATTAAAGGAATAACACATTTTAAAATCATATTTAAGATAACAGTATTATTTGATTACACTGTCACCATATCATTCTTCCTTTTCTAAATGATTGTATATATTTTCAATAATATCATATATGCATAATCTCAGGTGCTCCCTCCACCCTGAGCCCAACCACTCCTAAACCTTTACAACTGAACTGTACATTTGACAGTGGTTTGTGTCAGTATACTCAAGGAATTAATGGCCAGGATGATGACCTAGACTGGGAGATTGTGTCAGAGGCTGTGTCACAGGGAGTTACTGTGAAAGATCATACCAGTGGCTCAGGTATGTTTTTATAGAACTACATACAGTGTACCCCTCATAACCCTTCTAATCTCTAACATAAACCCTGTCGGCTGCTTCCATCTTTCCTAACAGTACCAGTACCTTACAGCCTGAATGTTTTTTTTTGTTTTTTACTAGTTATTTTAACCTATAGGTTAATTGATGCTATGACCTTACAGTGCTGGAATATGATTTCAGATCGTTGTATATTGTATGTACTGGCTTTATGGGTTTACTGGTAAAGTCATACCAAAGACCATTTTAGAAATATACTTCCTGTCTCCTCACTAAGCGTAAGCGTGTAGCATAAAGAGAATGAAGTCATTGGTCAAGTCTTGTAACCTTCCCAGCAAGGTGAGATCCCTTAATAAGGACCAGTCATAATATTGTAAAACTGGCTGATCTCATTTATTAAAGACAGGCTATAAACCAAACTTTTACCTTTACTTTATATTAATCATTCAATATTTTGTGTTTCTAGGAAATTTTGTATTCCTGAATAATTCCTGGGCTGAACATGATCTGCGTGGTGCATTTCTTCTGTCTCCATTGATATTGAATGTCCCTCAGCAGGCCTATTGCTTCAGTTTCTGGTACTTCTTAACCCCAAATACTAATCCTTTGATTGTATTTGTGACTGCGGCTGATGAAGTGAGACTCACTAACAGAGTGTGGATGTCTTCTTTTTTGGATGATAAACCTCAGTGGCAAAAACAGGAGATTCATGTGGTGAACAGAAATGGGTTCCAGGTGAAACAACTTTTTTCATATTTATTTTTGATTCAACATTTTAGGTTTCTCAACTTACATACATGCAGGTTTTTAATCAGAATATTCTCCAATGTGATCTAGAATGGGATCATGAGATTGTACATAGCTTAGTATGAATTTCTTTTCAAAAATTTGAACTAACATTACCTTAAATTAAAGAAAATTGCTTTTTCCAGGTGGCATTTATGGAAGAGGTTACTGCCAACATTGACAATGGAGCTGTCATAATGGCATTGGATGATTTTTCAATACAACCAGGGAATTGCTCAGGTTAAAAACTTAGCTTATAGCATAAATTAAAATATATTTCTGTTAGGACAGTGTATCAAGCACTCATTGTAAATTTAAGTATGTGCAGTAATACTTTATACTAAGTAGTAGCTGCAGAGCATTTTGATCTATTGAATTCTAAATGTTCATTGCAGTTCCTAGATATTGTGACAGCCAGCCATGTCAGAATGGTGGAACATGTATAGAATCCGTAGGAAAAGCTCTTTGTGAATGCACAGTGTATTATACAGGCATCAATTGTGGTGATTGTAAGTACATATGCATAGTACACATGCATATAAGTGCACCTGTGCACGCAGATGTGCGCACATGTGAGCACTTCATTTAAAGAATATCAAAGTTTTGTCTTAGCTAACCATTCATGAAAAATGCTATATGACATGTTATATAAGGAATGTATACATGTATGCGTTATATCATAGTAAAAATATTTTCTGCAGATGGTAGAAGATTTGACTGATGAAAATGTTTTTATTTAATTGCTAACAGATTTGATACAGATACTCTTTTAATGGTTGATTGCAGTTCATAGCAGCAGGGTAATGACCACTCGCCCATTTCACCTTTTTAAATGGTTCACTGTTAATCACAATGTTGCATGTCATTTCTAGACACTGTTTCTTTCTGCCAGGTTGCATATTAGACTATTATGACATCATGCATAGTGTATGTCAATATCATTTTCTATGTGTTAAATAATAAATTTGATAAATATAAACCCTATATATAAACAAGGTCTGGTCCCAGGAAAATGCCCCACATGGCCACCATCCACCACAGTGTCCAGTACTGTCCATACTCCAGGAGAGTTCAGTTGCACCTTCACACACAACTTCCTATGTGGATACACACAGAGTCAAGATGATGAATTCGACTGGTCTTTTTACAGTTCAGTCAACAAGTCTGCTGGCCAAGATAGCGCACATGGTAACAGTGCCCTTGCTAATAAAAACAATGCAACAATTTGTTTGTTGTATGAATGGATGGAAAATTTGGATGGATAGTGACAGATTTTGGATACATTTTGAAATACAATACCCTGTTTAAAGCAGTTGTTTTTCTGATAATCATTTTACAAAATAATGATGATACACATTTTCTGCTTTTGTCATACATGGAACTTGAAAGATGAACCACTCCAAAATTCTTACATGGACATGAAAATGGTGTATTTTCAAGAACACAAATTTATCACCTTTTAAACCTACTCTTTAATAAAATGTCATTCTCTTTAAACTTCAGATGACTACCTATTCATCAACGTCACTGCTGTCAAGATGAGCGATGCTCGTGCCCGTCTGCTGTCACCTCTGGTAAACTCCCCAGGCTCTCACTGCTTCATATTCTGGCATCTCCTAGATAAAGCCACTCTAGACAGCATTAATATATATATCAAGCCTTACCAGGAAGATGTTCCAGTGAACCCTGTGTATACTGTATTCTCTGTCTTTGAAGGCACTGATCTTGATTGGGAAAGGAATGAAGTCTATATAGATATGAATGGAGCATTCCAGGTATTCTATGAATGACCTATTAAGAAACTGCATGGTGATTTAAGTATAATTTTCATAGTTGAATAAGTTTACTCAAAATGGAATTTTTATGGAGTTTTTTACTATTTCAGTATTGGAGATACTGAGGTGGTGGGAAAAGGTTAAACGTACTTTTATAAAAATTTGCCTGAAAATATGAACCACTGCTCAACTGTTATATAAGTTCAATAGTAAACCCCAAAAGAGGCAGACAGATTGATGTAATTTATGTTTGAAGGTTGTCATAGAAGGTGTGAAGGCAGCTGAGAAGAAAGGGATGGTGGCTATAGATGATGTTGAAATACTGCTAGGAGATTGCTCAAGTATTTTACCTTTATTCATTTTATTTCATTAGCACAAGTCAGTAGTATTTAAAATGATTTAGAATAATGTTTTTTTTTTTTTTTTTTTTTTTTTTGTTATAGAAACATTATACAGTACAGAACCAGAAACAACGTGACAATGCTAACAATGTATATATTGATCTGTAGTGTTGTTTCTAACCTTTGCTGTTTCTTATTTGAATCTATACAAATGATCCTAAAGAAGTTTAAGTCTGCTAATGGCCACACACATTTTATGTATTATTTTTACTGAAACATTCTGTTATTTTGTACTCCTTAATATCATTACTTTAAGAAATTCCAATATTTTAAGACTTTTTTGATACATTTGATTTTCAGAACCATCTCCATGTGGCAGTCAGCCCTGTAAAAATGGTGGAACATGTATTGCCAGTGCTGAGGGATTCCTATGTGAATGCATGCAGCCAAAATTTACAGGAAAAACTTGTGAAATTGGTCAGTAATTATTAACATGTACATACAAAACTATATTGATTATTTTCTTATTGATTTTGAGAATCAGCTTTTCAGAGCTATGATTTTTTTTCATAATCTTGCTTATTTAAAAAATCAAAGTTTTGTTTCCACATATGAATGATATTTTTAGACAATTAATTAGTTCTTGTTTTAGTTGCCACCACCTCTACCTTACCACCCACCACCACTGTACCACCAAGTCTGAACTGTACTTTTGACAGTGGCTCTCTCTGTGCATACCACCAAAGTGGAGAGGATGAATTTGATTGGTCTTTTTCAACCCCTGGACAAAAAGTTGTAAAACCATATAGTGATCATACCACTGGAAATGGTTGGTACTTTTTCTTGAATATTTTATCATGTGTAGTTATTGAATTATTGATATAGATGTACTTGCTGCTGTTGCTCAGCAACCCATTACTGTATAGCAACATTTATCAAATATTCCATAGTTTCTGTTAGATTGTAGAAAGTTTTTCCAAAATATAAGTATAGGTCTGTGATTTTTCACAAATTCATTTATGACAAATGCTCACATGATAATCGTTTGTTTTATTTATTTATTTTTATTTTATTTTATTTTTTTTTTGGAATGACCCTGCATTCCAGTTGCCCACTGGAAACACTCTATAACCATTCCACTCTGACAAGTTGAGATTATAAGTGGTGAAAAGATGGTGCTGTGTACATGTAGCAAATACTCACTGTCAGTTCTCCACAGATCTCTTGCTTGACATTTATTACCTTGAAGACAGGATTGATAAGCTATATTATTATATTTAACTGCACTTCTTTACACTGAAATGGTTGTTACTTGTTTCAGGTTCATACCTCTTCATAAACTCATCTTCAAGGAAGACGGACGACAGAGCTTTTCTGATGTCACCAGAGATTTCATCTGGTGGTGTTCATTGCTTTACCTTCTGGTTTTATCTGTCTGGTGCTGTCTCTGACACATTAAATGTCTATATGAGACCAGCAGGAGAGGAGATGCCTCGTAACCCTGTGTGGACTTCATTTTCCAGTGAAGAAAGTTCAGATTGGTGGTATGAAGAAGTTTTGTTGGATATGAACGGAGCTTTTGAGGTAAAATTTACTTCTTTTTAAAATAGACATATTTTCTATAATTTCATATAAACCCTTTCAATTGATGTACACAAAATATGGACATTTTTGATTGGCAGTTGCACCTACGTGTATACAGTATGTCTTCATCCCTAGGTTGTGGTTGAAGGAGTTCGTGGTTTGAATGGTATTGGAACTGTAGCCATTGATGATATAGGACTACAGGAAGGAGAGTGTCAAAGTATGTGATTTTGTTTTTAGAATGTATCAAATACATAAAAAGATATTACATTTGTTGGGCAGAAAAATATGTTTGCTTTCATTATTTTCAGTCTTAAACTGAAGAAAATTAGCTACTTAATAAGAAATATCTAGAATTCCAGTGAAAGAGCATATTTACAATTAGTGTTGATTTTCAAGTATTTGTATACAATCAGCCTTTTTTTCTTTTCTTTTTTTTTATTTAGCTTTTAAAACTGTGGACCCTTTTTTGACAATATGCTGTACTTTTTCAATAGTGTAATATTTCCCCAGGTTCTCAGTCCTGTAAGCCTGAAACATGTCAGAATGGGGGGACATGTGTGGAGACCCGGGATTCTTTCATGTGCATCTGTCTATCTGGATACCTGGGAACAAGATGCGAAAACAGTAAGTTATGTAAAGGTTTCAGGATGTGGTTACCCTTGTTTTATTATTATTATAATTATTTTTTTTTTTTTTGTTGTGGATTTTGTTGTATGAAAAGCAAACCACAGGTTTTTTTGTAAAGATTGAGATTCAATCATCTAAACTTTGATTAAACACCCCCACTCAAAACTAAATAAATTAATAAATAGATAAATAAATAAATAAATAATGGTTTGTATCCGAAGAATATTTTACGATTAAGATAATTACCAGATAATTTTATGTATTTACCAGCTCCGACCTCTCCAGGGACGACCCCATCTACCACACCAGCCTCCATCATAGATGACGTGACATGTGATTTTGACCAAGGCTACTGTGGATACAAACAATTCCAGCAAGGACAAGACGAGTTTGACTGGTCATTGTCTATACCTGGAAATTCAAACATGAATCCAAGATTAGATCATTCTGGCAATGGTACTTTTTATATTGATGTGTACTTATGTTCATTTTTTTATAAATATAACTGCACTATAGATAATTTTTTGTGTATGATTTTGAATAAAAGATATATGACTAATACTATTTTCATATAAGCTAAAGAATTAATAAAAGGTTATGATCTAAAAATGATGAAGAATAAACATTATTTATTATAATTTTGTTTGTTCCAGGTTCATATATCTATGTTAATATGTCACAAGCAAATAGTGCAGGAGACAGAGCAAAACTGATATCTCCTTTGGCTACTATCCCTGCATCTTCTCCTTCCCATTGTCTTAGTTTTTGGTATTATTTGCCTGGGACTGTCTTGGATATTTTGAATTTTTACGTGGTCAGCGCTGGTGCTCCTGTCCCCACAGATCCTGTGTGGACCCTGGTGGATGAGGGCAGAGAACAGTGGGTGTACCAGGAAATACAAATAAACAAAAATTTGGGGGATTTTCAGGTTGGTCATGTCATCCACAACTGTATTTATTTAATAGGTGATTTTACATAAACCAGTTTGTAAAACTTATTATCCAATTACATCAATTGTATCATTTAGGTAATAATTGATACGTACTGTGCTTGTCAGAAAATTAATTTTGAAGATTCTACTCACCACTTTTTTCTAGATCATGTTTGAAGGTATTCGAGGGGTAAATGATGCAGGTGCTCTGGCTGTTGATGATATTGTGTTAAGGAAAGGCAACTGCACTGGTAAAGAAAATATAGATCATGCATAATTGAAGAGATAGCCAATTGCAATCAGTGTCACCTATTTCCGGAAACTGTGAATGATTAAAAAACCAATCTTCTAAATCTATTTTTGGACTCCTTGCTGATTTAGCCATGATGGTATTTACCTGAATATATTCACCTTGTGTGTTTAGACCACCTCTAAGCTAATTGTAGTCAGGCTTGTGATTGCATCAGGTCGGGTCACAGAATCAAAATCTCATTACTTACTGGTTTAGTTACAGTCACTTTACCACCACTCAGTAATTAAAGTATTGTGTAAACAAGCTCGTCAAGATTAAACTCTTCATAAAATACCTAACATTTTATTTTGTCAGTTCCAAGTCCCTGTGACAGCAACCCCTGCCTCAATGGTGCCACCTGTATAGAAAGTACAGAGTTATACGTTTGCGAATGCACACTGGGATATATTGGAATCAACTGCGGAAGAAGTAAAAAAGATCTTTCTTTAAAACAGAAATATTTTTCATTTGAAAATGTTTTAGAAAGAGACATCAGACATTTAATTAATTGATCACTTTTCATTGATGTACAGATGCATAGGTTGTAATGGGTTTTATGCAAGAAAAGCATGTGTCAGTACAGATACAAGAGAAAACTCTCCACAGCAGAAGGAAAATTTGTGGTTTGGTCACATTTGGTTTTATTTTTACACTCCATAGCACCTTTGCATGTACCACATCTTGTCTTTCAGTAATTCCTGATACAACTACAATTGTGACAACAGCCAGGGCTAGTAGTACTGTAACGAGCCCCCTAGTACCTCAAACCACATCTAGTGTTCCAGGTGGTGCCATGCTGTACTGTAACTTTGACAACACTTGGTGTGACTTCACACAAGACAAAGCTGATAATTTTGATTGGTCAATGTCATCAGGTGACAAAGATGAGGTACCTAACAAGGATCACACTTCTGGATCAGGTATTAGTAAAAAAATATATATTTCTTGAATGCTTTTTGTGCATATCTTTGGTTGCATTTGTTTTTAAGGCTCTCTTATTTTTCTTCATGTTTAAATATATTAATTGTTCTTATTCTTAACTTGGTTTATTGTTATCCACACTTGTGGTTGCTTTTCATAAAAAATAAACGGCATATTAATAACTTCCAACAGTGTTATTATATTTATATAACTTATTTAATAGGGAAATACATCTACATCAACACATCTAGAGCTGCAGGTGACAGTGCCAGGTTGCTCTCTCCAGTTGTTGCCTTTCAAGGGTCTCTCTGCTTGACTTTCTATTTGAATATGCAGAGTATAGGGCTCAGTGAGCTGAATATATATGTGAAGCCTTCTGGGGGACCTATTCCAATGTATCCAGAGTGGTCAGTGTCCTTCTCAGAAGGGGAGCCTGACCAGTGGGATTACAATGAGGTGAACATCAAGAGTAGAGACTCTAATCAGTTTCAGGTAGGACAAAAACATCGTTCTGCTGTTTATACTTTGTAATTCTAAGTCATTCCAAAGCTGTTAAGGCAAAAGAGTATTATGCTGATTTATTTACAGTTGAATAAAATTTTCACTTTATTAAATATAAAACCATTGTTTGGGCCCATATTAGTACAGAATTTGAAAGTGCCATTGAGCTGAATTTTTTATGAAATTTTCATTGTCATGTTTTTTCCAGATTGTTGTGGAGGGTGTCACAGGAGGAGATCAGGTGGCACTCGATGACTTGTTGATGAAAACTGGCACGTGTACTGGTGAGTATTTTTTTGTTTCTGTTAAAATAGCTTTTATTTTTGGATTCTACCTTTTGTTCAAATTTTATCATTTTGGTATTCTGCTACCTTTGATTCAGATTCTGTCATTTTGGTATTCTGCTTCCATCAGCTCTGAAACAAGATGTTAGTGTGAAAAGTAGCTTTTCAGTTCCTTACAATCTGTTGGTCAAAGCAAAACAGTGAACCATTGAAATGAAATTTTATGCTTGGATTGATATACTACTTATTTTTCAATTTCATTGTAAGAATTCAAGTTGTAATTTACTGAAATATGCATCTTTTTTGCAGAACCTCAATATTGCAAGGCTGATTCTTGTGGGGGACCCAGCCGAGGAATATGTACTGAGAGCAAAAATCAATTTTTCTGCCAGTGCAAATTTCCATATTATGGAGCAAGATGTATGCAAGGCAAGTCCAATATAATGAAGAAAAAACGTTTTTGTGGAAACACTTGTGACCATAAGTGAAGTGTTGAATTTGGTACTCATACAATCATAGTCAAGTTTATTTAATATTGTTCACAACCAGGTATTCTTGAGAAAAGACAATTTGTTTTTGCTCAATTTCATAGTTTCAGATGTATGCCCATCCTTATACATTCACGTTTGCCTTATTTAGAGTTCAAAAGCACAACCATCAGAGTTATGACTACCAAAACATCAACTTTATCATCCTCAACACCAAGCCAGTCAACAGTTATGACTACCAAAACATCAACTATATCATCCTCAACATCGAGCCAGTCAACAGCATCTTCGACAGCACCAACCACGGACTCCACTACTAAGCCATCCTCTAAACCTCAAACCCTCTCGTTATCATCATCATCATCAACAAAAAAAGTGTCGTCCACAGGACTCAATACATCAGTGATAACAACAGCAGCAAGTATTTCATCACAGAAACCAAACACAACATTGCCAGATAAAGAAGGAACCAATGGGACACAGGCTGCATCAAAACATCCTCCCCAGCCCTCTAATGTTGGTGCTATAGTAGGAGCCACATTAGGTGTGGCAGGAGGACTCTTCCTGGCTGCAATAGGTGGTGTGCTTTATATTAAAAAGAATAATAAAGGTTACTTCTCCTTTATAGGAGATGATGAAACTGTGTTACAGGAAGCTATGGAAACTAGGCGTCATTCTAGTGGTCCTGCGCTTTTCGAAAATCCCTATTTTGATGAGGAAGAAAAAAGGGAAGATGCATTATATAAATGGTGACCAGAACTAGTAGGGAAAAAAGACATTTTGCTGGCATAGTTCCTTAAGCAAGTTATTGCACAAGTAATATTAAAAGCCTACAGAAATGAAAGCTAACAAGTGCCATTTTCACATTATGAGATTATCAACCAGTTAAAGATTGTGCCATATCTTTTTAGAAGAGAAAAAGATTGTTGGATTTATGCCGAACAGTTACTTACATTGAAAAACTGGCCTTACAATTCATAACTTTTAATTTATAGTATTATACTATTTATATTTACCTTCTTTTGAAACTTATCACTCATTTTGTCTTCAATTTAGATAATTTAATTGTAATTTAGTCACCCATTACATCAATTAATAACAAGTTACATTTTTCGTCTTGCCTTCAAATTTTGACATAGTAAAAATACACTTTCATCATCAAGTTACATTATCTTCTTACAGATGTTCTGTTGCTTGAAATATACAAGGTGAAATTGTCAAATATTATATGTGAAGGTAAAGGTCAAAATTCAAATTTGCTCACTATTTGCATTACACTGTTCAAAAACATGTTCAGTTTGCTTTTTTCTTTATTTACAAATCAAATGCTGCTCAATTATTTTGTTTTTCCTTTTGTTGCCATTCGTTTGGCTTTGACAGCTTTTTTGGTTTGCAACCAATTCCCGCTCTCCACTGTTATAGCCTTTGGTTCTTGGAAATTAAAACCCTTGATAACTTCAGCAGGCTCTTCTAACAACCCTGTCACTATGCCAGTCATTGAGGTGCTTTTCTGAGATTCCCGCACCTGAAATTTTGAACCCAAGTCTAACGCCATAGAGCACTTGAGCAAGATTCTCACATCCGCAGTATCTCCTGGCATGAGCATATCAGTTCCCTTCAACTTAACACAGCAAGCCATGTTCCAGTTACTTGAATGAAGAACTTCTGTGTACCCGTCAAATACTGGTCGCCGTCTACCTCCCTCTGCCCTTGTGACAACATAAACTTTGGCCTCCAGGTTGTCAGTCATCTGTACAGATTTGGGGGCAGAAACCACCATCCCATTTGTAATTGTTTCAGGCTTGACTCCACGAAGTAACACTCCTAAGTGATCCCCTGCTGCACAAAAACCCACAGGTTTGTGAAATACCTGCATGTCGGACATTTTAGTTCTCATGCACTTACCAAATCCCACCAACTCCACATCATCACCTTTTTTGGCTTTGCCCCTTTTTACTGTGCCAATGACTACAGTCCCTCTGCCAGGAACACTGATATAAGACTGAACAGGCATGAAGAAAGGACTCTCTGTGTCTCTTACAGGAGTCTCGATGTGATTGTCTACTGCCTCCATAAGTTTTAAAATAGACTCTCTCCCAAGTTCAGGATCTGTCCCTTGTAAAGCACACAAAGCTGAGCCAAAAACTATAGGTGTTTTTTTGGAGTCATAGCCTCTCATTTCTAGTAGGTCTCTCACTTCCAATTCTACCACTTCTAAAATTTCCTGATCCACCAAATCTGCTTTATTTATATACACTACGACACTTTTTACTCCTATCTGGCTGGCAAGTAGCAGGTGTTCCTGTGTCTGCGGCATGGGACCATCATCTGCCCCCACCACAAGTATTGCCCCATCCATCTGAGATGTGCCTGTGATCATGTTCTTGATGTAGTCCATGTGGCCAGGGCAGTCTGTGTGAGCATAATGATGCTTCTCTGTTTCAAACTCCAGTCGGGTAGCATTGATTGTTATACCTATATACATAAAGAAATAAACCACTACTAGATTAGATATTCAGTTGAAAAAATACATCATTTTTAAAAGAAGTGATTTCCTATAATGATGTTTTTCAACTTCTGAAACAAAGTGATCATAACAAAATTGCATGCTGCCCCCCCCCCCTTTTATCTTTAAGTTATTTGTTTGTTTTATTTTTGTAAAAAAAGCATTTTTTTCTGCAACTTCATTTTAAATTATTGGCTAACAATTGGAAATTATTAAATTACTTATAAAATGATTTTTACCACTATTTTATAAACTTGCTTTCAGAAAAAAGCAACCTTGTTTGCATGTGTAATCACTTGATAAACTAGAGGATCAGAGAGGCGATACCGCCTCCGAATATTGTACCACCAGCTGGAGCAAGAGCATTCGTATAGACCCCCACATACACAAAATAAGGGACACAGCCACCAGTTTTGTGCTTGACAAGCTGTAAAAATGCAATCAACAAGAATTTTTAAACTATTGCAAAAAATATATATGGTACAATCAAATTTAAGTTCTTCGTAAGGTAGGTCAAGGGTCAATTTCAAGGTCACAGTAAATTGCCAGTATATGACTTCCTATTCAAGTTCAAGAGTAACTATGGACCTATCTCTGTCAAGTTTGAAGTTAAAAGAGAAAGAAATTAGCAGAGTTCAGTTCATGATAAAAAGTAGGTCAAAGGTCAATTTCAAGGTCACATTTAGATTGCCAGTATATGACTTTCTATTCAAGTTCAATAGTANAAACATTTCACAATCAAATTAAAATACTAGTAAGGTGATGGTATCTTCAAATGATATTAAACGTATTCCAAGTATTCCTGAAAATTCCAAGAAATTAAAAACACTGACAGAATCTAGTATAAAGGCAAGTCAATCCATGTTTTTTTGATACACAATGGTTAATAAATAATAGTGATTGTCTACCTATAACCTCAGTCTGGAGCTGTGTACACAATCCATTTTTAAGTGTGTATCTTGTCTCTACATTTTCTAATCTAGTGATAATCAATGGAAGCTATAATACTCCTACTGACAACACCCTGGCCAGTAAATATACCGTCAAGTTTTTCTTCCACCCTTAACTCTCTAATGCTCATCAAAATTAAGTTATGTGGTGACTTTGATCAATGTCTCTGCTGTTCAAATAAATTAGATTGATTATTTACCAACCTATTTTTTTTTTAATCTTTTTAAAATGAACTTTGACCATCGATTTGACCAATGAGATTACAGCAAATGTTCACCTCAGCGATAACCTCGGCTCTCATAATATTTGGAAGGCATTCCAAGTTTTACAAAAAAAAAAATTTTCAAATTAGAAAATGTATTGCCAAACTTATTTAATTGAGTATCATGGACGTTGCTCAAAGTCACCACATAAATTAATTTAGAAAAGATATTGAATATCATACAGTTTTATGATGTGTGGAATACTTAAAAAGTGCCCAAAGGGTAAAGATTTGTCGGTCCTACTATACATGGAAATGGATAGAAATGGACCGAAATAAACCTTGAGGTACACATAGCAAACCTCTCTAAGATTGCATTTGAGTTCTACATAGTAAAAATAAACTTACTTCTGAACCAGAAAGAAGTTTAATTGACTTTTTTTTTGGAGATAATCACCCACCGAGATAACTACGACATACAGTCCCATCGCTACAAAGGGCATCTATGTGCCACTGTTGCAGATAGCTTCAACAATGAGGTGAATGCAGCATGCAGGCCAGGCCAATGGTCTGGGATGACACATGTATGCTGCAAGTGCAGCACTGAAGGTGGCCCTCAGGTAATACTTTCAATTATTAGTATTTTACAGAAAAAAGAAAAATTTTGCAGTGAATTTTGATGCATTACATCTAGATTCTGATGTGGAAACAATGGTCTTTTCCACAATTTAATTTTCATGTACAAATGGTAACCTACAGTTATCTTTTGATCATCCTTTCAGTAGTCATACATCACAAGAAATTTTCATGAAATCCGTTTTTCAAGTTGAATTTTGCATTCAAATTTAGTTGAAGATCCAAATTGATTTTAATTTATCACTGAACACCATTATTCCATTTTCTTTTATCAGGTCCTACTGTCCACCAGTTCTGAACTAGAGGATCAGAGAGGCGATACCGCCTCCGGATATTGTACCACCAGCTGGAGAAAGCGCATTCGTATGGACCCCCCCCCCCTCCTAAAAGGGACACCATCACCAGTCTGGTGTTTGACAAGCTCTATAAGATGCAATCAACAAGAGTTCTCAAAATATGCACAAAAATNGAACATTTCGCAATCAAATTAAAATACTAGTAAGGTGATGGTATCTTCAAATGATATTATTCCTGAAAATTCCAAGAAATTAAAAACACTGACAGAATCTAGTATAAAGTCAAGTCAATCTATGTTTTTTTGATACACAATGGTTAATAAATAATAGTGATTGTCTACCTATAACCTCAGTCTGGAGCTGCGTACACAATCCATTTTTAAGTGTGTATCTTATCTCTACATTTTCTAATCTAGTGATAATCAATGGAAGCTATAATACTCCTACTGACAACACCCTGGCCAGTAAATATACCGTCAAGATTTACTTCCACCTTTAACTCTCTAATGCTCATCAAAATTAAGTTATGTGGTGACTTTGATCAATGTCTCTGCTGTTCAAATAAATTAGATTGATTATTTACCAACCTATTTTTAAAAAATCTTTTTAAAATGAACTTTCAAGTTATTTGACCGATGAGATTACAGCAAATGTTCACCTCAAGCGATAACCTCAGCTCTCATAATATTTGGAAGGCATTCCAAGTTTTACAAAAAAAATTTTCAAATTAGAAAATGTATTGCCAAACTTATTTAATTGAGTATCATGGACATTGCTCAAAGTCACCACATAAATTAATTTAGAAAAGATATTGAATATCATACAGTTTTATGATGTGTGGAATACTTAAAAAGTGCCCAAATGTTAAAGATTTGTCGGTCCTACAATACATGGAAATGGATAGAAATGGACTGAAATAAACCTTGAGGTACACATAGCAAACCTCTCTAAGATTGCATTTGAGTTCTACATAGTAAAAATAAACTTACTTCTGAACCAGAAAGAAGTTTAATTGACTTTTTTTTGGAGATAATCACCCACCGAGATAACTACGACATACAGTCCCATCGCTACAAAGGGCATCTATATGCCACTGTTGCAGATAGCTTCAACAATGAGGTGTATGCAGCATGCAGGCCAGGCCAATGGTCTGGGATGACACACGTATGCTGCAAGTGCAGCACTGAAGGTGGCCCTCAGGTAATACTTTCAATTATTAGTATTTTACAGAAAAAAGAAACTTTTTGCAGTGGATTTTGATGCATTACATCTAGATTCTGATGTGGAAACAATGGTCTTTTCCACAATTTAATTTTCACGTACAAATGGTAACCTACAGTTATCTTTTGATCATCCTTTCGGTTGTCATACATCATAAGAAATTTTCATGAAATCTGTTTTTCATGTTGAATTTTGCATTCAGATTTAATTGAAGAACCAAATTGATTTTAATTTATCACTGAACACCATTATTCCATTTTCTTTTATCAGGTCCTACTGTCCACCAGTTCTGAATGAGAACTTTGTGACAGCACCTTTGTCCAGGAAAATCACAGGTAGAGGAGGTTCCCAGTCTGCTATTGCAGAAGTGGTCATCACGTGGACAAGTGTAGGCGTGCCCAAAACAGTAAATCAGTTCCGTCCAGACCACTTCAGCACACTCATAGAATTAATCCAACAGCCAGCAGTTATTGTAGACCTCAATAGTAGTCTCACTGAAAGTGAACTGCAGTACACCAACTTGATGACAGTGACCAAGGGCCTGCAAACTCACCAACTTCTGAACCCCAAAATCTCAAGTCGGCTTGCAACACCTTTGTCAGTGAGCCCACCAGTGACCACATGCCTGCAAACTCACCCATGGACCACAGAAATTCCAATGAAACTATGGAGGTTGATCAGTCATGGGAGGATGAGGGGACAGCAATAGGTGGGACAGCTTTACGCAAGGGGAAGTTTTTACCAGTGGATGAAGTCATTTCATTACTGACATCAGATTCATCACCATCCCTCACTGAAATACTAGACAGGCAAGAAAGAAAATATAATGTTTATCATAGACAACCGATGTAAAGTTGCACGTATCCAGGCAGGACAAAAACAAGACCTTTCTGATGATTGTGGAGCGTGGAACCCAAGTCCCTCGCCATTGACAAGAATGGCCTTTAGAGATGGCAAATGGAGCCAGGTAGTGCTGAAGAATGACCAATATTACATTGAAAACCAAGTGAAAAACAAGAGAAAATTGCAACTTTTGGGCGAACAACCAAATCAAGTAATAACATAACAAAGGAACTACCGGACACTTAAAAAGGACTCTAACTACAAAAGAAGAATAAGTATACTCCAAAACAGACCTGATAAATTACTTGAGGGTATATCGGACAGTATCCAGGACTTGCCCCTCACGATAACTCGAGCCATCCGAATGCTCAACATTATGTTAAAACAAACACTACCATATTAGAAGAAACAGCCTCAAAAGCTAAGACCTCCAAGCCTAAAGAAATATATGAGGGCATGATCAGGAAAAATGAAGAGCTGAGGAGGCCAGCAAGCTTGAAACAAGTACAGAATAAGGTGCACAAAGTGACAAAGGAGATTTCGGGGCTTACTGACAGCAGCGGAGGACAAAATCTGGCGGACAACTTAATCCACCTCCATGGACAAATTCACCATCACCCCTTCCTGAAGAAAATAATTCACAAGAAAAATAAATGTCCTACATTTATTCTGTATACAGAAAAACAGATTGTAGATCTCAGGAGGTTTTGTTGTGCTGGGCCAGCAACACATGGTACAGTGCTTGGAATCGACAAGACATTTAATTTAGGACAATTACATGTAACGGCTACGGTCGGTGTACAAAAACCTGGCCCTGGTTAGGCGTTCAGCAGACAACCCACCTCTCTTCCTAGGCCAAGTCATGATCCATGGTACATCAGATTGGAAAACGTACGCTTTGTTTATGGACACGTTGGCTACGGAGTTGGATGGATCAGCCAGCTCCCCAATCATTGGATCTGACCACGAAAATGCGATCAGAAAGGCTGCCAAATTTTCTTTCAAAGAGGCAAAGTTGTTATCATGTGAAAGACACTTGAAGCAAAAATTGTATGATGCACTTCCGGGACAAAGTTGGGGTCGAGAGCTCGACAGACAACAAATTACTACAACTATTTTTGGACCCTCTGGACTGACTTCAGCACCGTCATTACCAGTCCAAGAGGCACGTCAAGAAATGACCAAAAAGGTAACAGAGAATAAAGCCCCAGAATTTTTACCATATTTCAATCAGTATATACAGTGAGGATATGCCACTTCTTGGCTGATATTGGTCTCTAAATTTTCCTGGACCAACAACAACTGTGAAGCAATTAATCACGTGCTCAAAATGAAAACCCAGTGGAGACAACAAGACATCCCAGCTTTAATCAAGAGTTTGTATGAAGTCGTAGAGAGCCAGCAAACAGATGTTGAGAGGGCCATTATTGGAAGAGGAGAATTCACTCTGGACAATCATTTCTTTTCTTTTGGCATGGACAGTATATCTTGGACCAGAAAGTCTCAAGAGCATAGAGAAAGATACCTTATGAAATTCATGAAAGCATCCAAGATGAAAAGCCAAATGGTTTTGTCCACCAATGGCTGAATGTCAAACCATCCTCTTCAAAGGGGAAAAAACCTAACCAATGCAAGAGGCTGAGAGCTACGAGAACAGCCACTATAAAACAAGGTCATGGAAATGGAAATTATGTGTAAGGGTTGGGTGTAGAACTTGCTCTGGTTGAACGTCGAAGACTAGCTTTGATGTTTGTGTGCACATATTGATGACTACAGAAAGAGAACACTTAAAATAAAATAATGTTATTTTGTTTAAGGCTTATAAGAAAACTGTCCCTGTTGTCTTTTTGGTTGGTATAAAAGATGTGTAGTATCTGTTAGAAAAACCTTTAGAAACGTTTTGCCTCCATGAATGATAGATAGCAAGCATATTGCCGATTTGTCTGGTTATGATTTATCAATGCCATCTTTAATCCACACAATGCTAGTTGCAATAATTGTTTATATGACTAACTATATTAATGTGTATTTGTCTACAGAACTTTGGAAGTCATATTTACAGCAAGAATGAAGCAGTAGCCTTGAGAAGTGCATATGTTCATATAATATAGCATGCCTAGTAGATAGAAATCTGGTAATGGTATATGAATTCCACCTTTAATCAGAGCAGTACATAATTGTAAGGAAGGTATATATGTAAAGATCTTTTTGAGTCATAAAGGCTGCTCCTTTCCAAAGCACTAAAATTATATAAACTATATTTATATTGATGTTACAGGCATGCTCTTAAAAATATTTAGTGCTCAGATTGCAAACTATGTTTGATTTTTTCAGATTTTTCCCTGATGCACAGGCGTATATCTAAAGCTTCTTTAAAATACGTTATCTACTGCACTAATGTTTTTACCAATGTTGAAGTGAGGTTTTGCTGCGTCCGGTTGATCACTGTACCATCTGAAGTGAACTACAGTAAATCTGTTGTATCTCTGAAGTCTGGGGCTGCATTTCGACAGTGTATAACCAAGGAGTTTCTGCAACTGTGCGTACCTCATGACTTTAGACAGAAACGTGCATATGGGGGGAGTGATACATGTATATTCTGAGAATGACCTTCACCTTTATAATTTTTCTTCTTCAAAGATGGTTAACCTCTTTATGCCATGAACAAATTATTATTATTATATCATTTGTGTTTCATACAGTCCATGCAACCAGTTATTTACTCCATTAAAATCTGTCCACTCTATGCAAGCGTGACTTAATGCGGCGGAATTATATCCGCAAGATAAATATCTGAGTTGCACGGCACATCCGGTTTTGAAGTGATTGCACCACAGTAAGTAAGCTGAGCAGCGTTTGTGCAATCTCAGTGCGCTTGTCTATAAAGGTGTAGGTTTTGATTAACCATACCCACTCCACTTTTGTGGAAGTACAAAACTTTCAACAGCAGTACATACTAGGCTTAGTTCTTTACCAGACATTTGAAGAATCGAAAGTCTCTTTAATCAAAGGCAACGATTGTTTCAATTTATTTGTCTTTTACTTTGCCTGTTATTAAAAAGGAATAGGTAAACGATATCAAGGCACAATATGAGAGGAATGTGGCATAAGAATTTGTCTGTTCAATGAAAATCAGTGAAAAGATTTAGCAAAGAAGATATGTACACATATCTCATTGTAAATTTACATGTTTTTATTAAGTTTTAAGTCATGATGCACGTTTAATTTGACACATGACATATATTTGAAAGCTTCAACTATTTATTTTACTTGTATTTTAGGTCTTTTACAAGTATTGCCCAGGTGGAGTTGAGCAGTATCGCCAGCACTTTCACAGATAGTTTTATGAGCACACGCCAGGAATTAGTGCAAAAACAGGAAAAGAGTGGCATTGTTTCTGTTATGTCCCAAGCTTCTGATCCTTCTCCGATATCAATTTGTCAGTTTTATGCCAATAAACGATGGTGTAAATTTGGTAAACGCTGCAAATTCCAGCATACACGTGGTAGTCAGCCATTTTCTGATGAAGAGGACCCAACTGGAGCAAAATGCAGTGATTCAAAAGTTGATTCCCAGTCTTTGAAAGAGGTAGCTATAGACAACGCCACAGAAGGAACTGACCAAAGTGAATTACAAACTGCCCAAGTAGTAGAGGTCTTCAGTGAGACAGAGAAACCCCACAAATTGAAGCCCAAAGTTACTAAAGAAAATGCAGAGGGGCATAAAATCTGCAAGTTCTTTGCACGAACTGGCCGGTGCAGATTTGGATCCAGATGCTACTTTTTCCATGAAAGGTCAAGTGGTGAACAGGAAAGAAAAGGTGTCATGAAGGAAAATGTGGAGAGTGCGGATGCAGGTAATATCTACCACTTAAGTTCTACAACCTGTTTGCTAAGACCAGAATAGAATTTAATACCCTCCATAACAATTTTCAAAAAAAAAAAAAANGACCTAAATCCAAGAGATGGGGACAGGGGTCTTTGCGGTCTAGGAGGAGAAGCGGTAACGGTGACTTGTATCCGGCGCCAGTACGCGGAGCCGGCGGAGATTACGGAGCCGGCGGAGCCAACGGAGCCGGCGGAGCCATACGAGACGGGTCGGGACTAAAACCATGAGTACCGCCAGCGTACACGCTGGTGGTACTAATGAGAACTTTGTGACAGCACCTTTGTCCAGGAAAATCACAGGTAGAGGAGGTTCCCAGTCTGCTATTGCAGAAGTGGTCATCATGTGGACAAGTGTAGACGTGCCCAAAACAGTCAATCAGTTCCGTCCAGACCACTTCAGCACACTCCTAGAATTAATCCAACAGCCAGCAGTTATTGTAGACTTCAACAGTAGTCTCACAGTACACCAACTTGGATGACAGTGAGCCCACCAGTGACCACATGCCTGCGAACTCACCCATGGACCACCAAAATTCCAATGAAACTATGGAGGTTGATCAGTCATGGGAGGATGAGGGGACAGCAATAGGTGGGACAGCTTTATGTAAGGGGAAGTTTTTACCGGTGGATGAAGTCATTTCATTACTGATATCAGATTCATCACCAACCCTCACTGAAATACCCCCATTCAAGAAAGAAAATATAATGTTTATCATAGACAACCGACGTAAAGCTGCACGCATCCAGGCAAAACAAAAACATGACCTTTCTGATGATTGTGGAGTGTGGAACCCAAGTCATTCACCATTGACAAGAATGGCCTTTAGAGATGGCAAATGGAGCCAGGTAGTGCTGAAGAATGACCAATATTACATTGAAAAACAAGTGAAAAACAAGAGAAAATTGCAACTTTTGGGCGAACAACCAAATCAAGCAATAACATAACAAAGGAACTACCGGACACTTAAAAAGGACTCTAACTACAAAAGAAGAATAAGTATACTCCAAAACAGACCTGATAAATTACTTGGGAGTATATTGGACAGTATCCAGGACTTGCCCCTCACGATAACTCGAGCCATCCGAATGCTCAACATTATGTTAAAACAAACACTACCATATTAGAAGAAATAGCCTCAAAAGCTAAGACCTCCAAGCCTAAAGAAATATATATATATGAGGGCATGATCAGGGAAAATGAAGAGCTGAGGAGGTCAGCAAACTTGAAACAAGTACATAATAAGGTGCACAAAGTGAGAAAGGAGATTTCGGGGCCTACTGACAGCAGCGGAGGACAAAATCTGGCGGACAACTTATCCACCTCCATGGACAAATTCACCATCACCCCTTCCTGAAGAAAATAATTCACGAGAAAAATTAATGTCCTACATTTATTCTGTATGTACAGAAAAAAAGATTGCAGATCTCAGGAGGTTTTGTTGTGCGGGGCCAGCAACATATGGTACAGTGCTTGGAATCAACAAGACATTTAATTTAGGTCAATTACATGTAACGGCTACGGTCGGTGTACAAAAACCTGGCCCTGGTTAGGCGTTCAGCAGACAACCCACCTCTCTTCCTAGGGCCAGTCATGATCCATGGTACATCAGATTGGAAAACGTACGCCTTGTTTATGGACACGTTGGCTACGGAGTTGGATGGATCAGCCAGCTCCCCAATCATTGGATCTGACCACGAAAATGCGATCAGAAAGGCTGCCAAATTTTCTTTCAAAGAGGCAAAGTTGTTATCATGTGAAAGACACTTGAAGCAAAAATTGTATGATGCACCTCTGGGACAAAGTTGGGGTCGAGAGCTCGACAAGACAACAAATTACTACAACTATTTTTGGACCCTCTGGATTGACTTCAGCACCATCATTACCAGTCCAAGAGGCACGTCAAGAAATGACCAAAAAGGTAACAGAGAATAAAGCCCCAGAATTTTTACCATATTTCAATCAGTATATACAGTGAGGATATGCCACTTCTTGGCTGATATTGGTCTCTAAATTTTCCTGGACCAACAACAACTGTGAAGCAATTAATCACGTGCTCAAAATGAAAACCCAGTGGAGACAACAAGACATCCCAGCTTTAATCAAGAGTTTGTATGAAGTCGTAGAGAGCCAGCAAACAGACGTTGAGAGGGCCATTATTGGAAGAGGAGAATTCACTCTGGACAATCATTTCTTTTCTTTTGGCATGGACAGTATATCTTGGACCAGAAAGTCTCAAGAGCATAGAGAAAGATACCTTATGAAATTCATGAAAGCACCCAAGATGAAAAGCCAAATGGTTTTGTCCACCACTGGCTTGTATGTCAAACCATCCTCTTCACAGGGGAAAAAACCTAACCAATGCAAGAGGCTGAGAGCTGCGAGAACAGCCACTATAAAATGAGGTCATGGAAATGGAAATTATGTGTAAGGGTTGGGTGTAGAGCTTGCTCTGGTAGAACGTCGAAGACTAGCTTTGATGTTTGTGTGCACATATTGATGACTACAGAAAGAGAACACTTAGAATAAAATAATGTTATTTTGTTTAAGGCTTATAAGAAAACTGCCCCTGTTGTCTTTTTGGTTGGTATAGAAGATGTGTAGTATCTGTTAGAAAAACCTTTAGAAACCATCCTCTTCAAAGGGGAAAAAACCTAACCAATGCAAGAGGCCGAGAGCTGCGAGAACAGCCACTATAAAATGAGGTCATGGAAATGGAAATTATGTGTAAGGGTTGGGTGTAGAGCTTGCTCTGGTAGAACGTGGAAGACTAGCTTTGATGTTTGTGTGCACATATTGATGACTACAGAAAGAGAACACTTAGAATAAAATAATGTTATTTTGTTTAAGGCTTATAAGAAAACTGCCCCTGTTGTCTTTTTGGTTGGTATAAAAGATGTGTAGTATCTGTTAGAAAAACCTTTAGAAACGTTTTGCCTCCATGAATGATAGATAGCAAGCATATTGCTGATTTGTCTGGTTATGATTTATCAATGCCATCTTTAATCCACACAATGCTAGTTGCAATAATTGTTTATATGACTAACTATATTAATGTGTATTTGTCTACAGAACTTTGGAAGTCATATTTACAGCAAGAATGAAGCAGTAGCCTTGAGAAGTGCATATGTTCATATAATATAGCATGCCTAGTAGATAGAAATCTGGTAATGGTATATGAATTCCACCTTTAATCAGAGCAGTACATAACTGTAAGGAAGGTTTATATGTAAAGATCTTTTTGAGTCATAAAGGCTGCTCCTTTCCAAAGCACTAAAATTAATAAAACAATCCTTATAACAGTTTTGTTTTGTTGGGGATTTTTTTACTGTGAAGACTTGGCTAACTATATTTATATTGATGTTACAGGCATGCTCTTAAAAATATATAGTGCTCAGATTGCAAACTATGTTTGATTTTTTTCAGATTTTTCCCTGATGCACAGGCGTATATCTAGAGCTTCTTTAAAATACGTTATCTACTGCACTAATGTTTTTACCAATGTTGAAGTGAGGTTTTGCTGCGTCCGGTTGATCACTGTACCATCTGAAGTGAACTACAGTAAATCTGTTGTATCTCTGAAGTCTGGGGCTGCATTTCGACAGTGTATAACCAAGGAGTTTCTGCAACTGTGCGTACCTCATGACTTTAGACAGAAACGTGCATATGGGGGGAGTGATACATGTATATTCTGAGAATGACCTTCACCTTTATAATTTTTCTTCTTCAAAGATGCTTAACCTCTTTATGCCATGAACAAATTATTATTATTATATCATTTGTGTTTCATACAGTCCATGCATCCAGTTATTTACTCCATTAAAATTTGTCCACTCTATGCAAGCGTGACTTAATGCGGCGGAATTATATCCGCAAGATAAATATCTGAGTTGCACGGCACATCCGGTTTTGAAGTGATTGCACCACAGTAAGTAAGCTGAGCAGCGTTTGTGCAATCTCAGTGCGCTTGTCTATAAAGGTGTAGGTTTTAATTAACCATACCCACTCCACTTTTGTGGAAGTACAGAACTTTCAACAGCAGTACATACTAGGCTTAGTTTTTTACCAGACATTTGAAGAATCGAAAGTCTCTTTAATCAAAGGCAACGATTGTTTCAATTTATTTGTCTTTTACTTTGCCTGTTATTAAAAAGGAATAGGTAAACGATATCAAGGCACAATATGAGAGGAATGTGGCATAAGAATTTGTCTGTTCAATGAAAATCAGTGAAAAGATTTAGCAAAGAAGATATGTACACATATCTCATTGTAAATTTACATGTTTTTATTAAGTTTTAAGTCATGATGCACATTTAATTTGACACATGACATATATTTGAAAGCTTCAACTATTTATTTTACTTGTATTTTAGGTCTTTTACAAGCATTGCCCAGGTGGAGTTGAGCAGTATCGCCAGCACTTTCACAGATAGTTTTATGAGCACACGCCAGGAATTAGTGCAAAAACAGGAAAAGAGTGGCATTGTTTCTGTTATGTCCCAAGCTTCTGATCCTTCTCCGATATCAATTTGTCAGTTTTATGCCAATAAACGATGGTGTAAATTTGGTAAACGCTGCAAATTCCAGCATACACGTGGTAGTCAGCCATTTTCTGATGAAGAGGACCCAACTGGAGCAAAATGCAGTGATTCAAAAGTTGATTCCCAGTCTTTGAAAGAGGTAGCTATAGACAACGCCACAGAAGGAACTGACCAAAGTGAATTAGAAACTGCCCAAGTAGTAGAGGTCTCCAGTGAGACAGAGAAACCCCACAAATTGAAGCCCAAAGTTACTAAAGAAAATGCAGAGGGGCATAAAATCTGCAAGTTCTTTGCACGAACTGGCCGGTGCAGATTTGGATCCAGATGCTACTTTTTCCATGAAAGGTCAAGTGGTGAACAGGAAAGAAAAGGTGTCATGAAGGAAAATGTGGAGAGTGCGGATGCAGGTAATATCTACCACTTAAGTTCTACAACCTGTTTGCTAAGACCAGAATAGAATTTAATACCCTCCATAACAATTTTCAAAAAAAAAAAAATTATATATATATACATATATATATATGTGGCAACTTTTTTGCATTAACAAGTATCAAGTTATTTTACCATTTTAAGATGTTGGTATTTCTAATGTGCTGTTAATGAATGGGTTCATATTTTCATTTTCAGATATCAAGGAGGAAGCATGTGTTAATGTCCAGTCACGAAATCCACCAAGGAAGGAATCATTTCGTCCCCCATACAGACCTTCTAGACCTAAACTTGTATTCTTGATGTCTGAGCTGTCTCTGGAAAAGATTGAGGAGCTCAGGAACTCAGAAATTCTGTACTTAAAGAAAAGATTTCCAAGGGTTTCCAGAAGCCAGGTTGAGTTAACTGAGGGGGAGACTGTGGATGAATACAGGATAGAGTTCACAGCTAGTGATCCAGACTGGGTAGGATATGTATACACTGATGTGTTAATAGGGCATTGCATGGTATTCGTTTTGCATTACAGATAGAATTTCGACTCTTTAAAGGTGTATTTTTCTAAAACTAATATAATATATATGATTTAACTGGAGTCTCTATTTTTAAAAAAATGTTACTTTTGATTGATTTTGGAACATTAAAAAAATTTATGTCAAGGACACAAAAAACACAGAATTCTCATAATATTAACAAAATAGAAATAAAGTGCATGATTTTAATAATCATAAGGAAGATCAGAGGAATGTCTGTCAAATATGAGGACTGTGTAAATTGTATAAAGCATTTTTATAAAACAATAAGATTTAAAACAAAACTAATCCTATTATAGCTTTGTTCTTTTAATTGACGCTCCATTTAAAAATATTGCTTTTGTTTTTTGAAGCCATTTGATGTGAAGTCATTGGAGCTTACTGTGTCATTTCCTTTGAAATATCCCCAAGTGGTAAGTAACTGCATGGACATAAGTTTTTGTGTACATTAAATCCAGTTGCTGTAAATAAACAGATCAGGAATACTACATGTATATATTTTCTATTTGAAAAAAAAATATTCATTTTCTAAATTGTTGTGAAAAAAATCTTACATTTGTATTTCAGCCTTTTAACATTAAATTTCCCGAGGATCAAACATTACCAGACACTGTGAGAAGGTATTTCACATATTTCATTAAAAATTGTCAGATTGCTGTTTAAATATATAATTGCTGAAGAAGAAAGAAAACTCAATACAACCCAAGGTTTAATGCTTCTTGATAATTTATGTTAAAAATGTGTTAAGAGCTTATGACAGATATCATGTTTTACGTAAATTTATATATCAATGAAAAAAAATTATTATAATTATGACTTACACGATGACCCAAGTAGTACTGCTGAACATTGAATGTTTGCTGGAATACTCACTTTGTTTGCTATTTTTAAATGAGTGGACCATGTAGGGTATAATTTTGAACTTGATGTTGTAGCAGAAATCTTGCAAATTATGAAGTTTGGCAATGTTTTTTCTCTGCAGTTATGTGAGTTATAATGTCAAAGGTTGGATTGAGGAAACCTGGAAAGAACTGCAACAGGCAGGCAAGGCAGAGCTTCTGTTGAGACGCTTTCTGAAATGGTTAGACAAGAAAATGGAAGAATTTTTCACAGAAGGGTTGAAACAGGTACACATATGATAGTAGCTTGAAATTATACAATACTCGTTTTAAGTCAAAAAGGTATATTTAACTAAGTCAGAAATAAACATTTTGTCCTGTTTTTGTCTTTCTTAATGCTTTAACTCTTTCTTGTAGTATGTTAATTTATCAAGCCAATTTATTATCCAAAAATGAACAAAGGTGATAAGCTGGATAAGTTTGAAATTTAATCAGCAAATGGTTTACCAGTATTCAATTCATCAGATGAAGAAAAAATTTTTAAATCCTTTTTCACTTTATTTTAATTTTCAGTTGAAGAGACAGCTTGCAGCAAAAGCTGCAGGATTAGAATTCATCCCATTCTTTCAACTGCAAGGATCACAAAGTCAAGACATTCATACTTCAAGAGAACCAGAACCTGGAGAGGAGGAACCAAGCCATATGTCCCCTGAACATGAGGTCTCTGAGCAGGAAGTTGACAGTGGTGATGGTAATGTGGATAAAGAAAATAAAGATATTGGTGCAGAAAGTGAAAAAGGTAGATTACACAGTTTAAATTGTGTTTTTAATGACGCTAGTCTGTTTAATATTTCAGTTCCACTAAATGCCCTTTTTAACTTAATTTTTATAAATGGAACTGTTGTTGTATATCCTCTGTCCGAAACAATTATTTTTTTTAAAAATTGGATTGATATAAGAACTAACGTGATGAGGTATAAAAATTTCATATACTTTATTCAGAAAATCATATTGTTTTGTAAGACATATATATCTGAACTTATTATGCTTTAACACTCATACAAAAATTTTATTTACGTGCACAGGTAACTTGGATCCTGTAAAGAAGGGAACAGAGATCCGTCTGCTAAAACTTCAGCTTTTGGAGGATGCTGCCACTTTGTTGGGAACGAAAATCAAGATTATCATTCAATGTAGCAGGTGTAAGAATCTGGCTGAAATAGTAACACCACAGAATCAACTTAATGCAGTTCCTTGTCCCAAGTGTGCTTCATGCCAGTATGTGACATTTCGCCCAAGCCTTGCACATCAGATGTCTTCTGTTATTGGTTACCTTGACCTACAGGGATGTGTTGCGTTTGACCTTGTCCTGGCTGACTGTGTTTTCAGTGTTGGTTGTATGAACTGTTCCAAGGAAATGAAGTTAGAGGTAATGCAATATTTACCTTTCAGTGAGGCACCACTATTTTTTTCTCCTTCTGATATTTTTGTTAACAATGAGATTTGTTTAAATATCCAAAAGTGAAAAGGATGTTATTTTAAACATTTTACATAGTATCTTTTTATGATGGAATGACCTTTTGATTATTTATAGGGTCTTGCCCCTGGTCAAATGAGTGATACACGATGCCTTGGTTGTTACAGCAAACTTAAGGTGGCTGTGGAGGCAGTTAAATTTCAGCAACTGCATCCAGCAAATATTACAGGTAAAATATAAAAACACTTCAAATTAACACTATTGAAGAGCACTACAATTTAGTCTCATTTGTTCTTTTTGAATTTGGTCTGTAGGGTTTACCATCCGTTTGTGCTATAACTGACAACTAAATGATTTCACATTGTGATGGATGAGATTTACTCAATCAAATTTTTTCTTGCAATGAAGATTCAAATTGTGATAGATGTGATTTTTAGCAAATTTTTTCCTGTCTGTACCTAACAGAATGACCATGCACAAAAATCTATTTTTGATTTATAAGCAAGTGACTATAATTTTTGGTTATGATGCTTTTTATTTTTGTGGAAAGTAAATTTTGTATTATTGTGGCTTTGTTTCTACTTGGTCATATAAGCAAAGAAGAAATGTAGGTGGGATTGATAGAAGAGATGTGAATCCAGATAACCAGATTCAAAATTTAATTTCAGACACTCATGGTGCTAATGTAATAGTAGTGAAGAAGGCACCAAGAGCAGTTAAGGACCCAGCTATCCAAGAGGGCAAGCCTCTTCCTGAGACTGGGACATGTAAGCACTACAGGAAAAGTTTCAGGTGGCTAAGGTAAGCACTTTATATACCATATATTAATGTAACATTTTTTTACCTTCGCCATGTTTACCTTTGTTGGTTTGTTAGTTAACCACCTAACTCAAAAAGTTATTTATGGATTTTGATTAAATTTTCAGGTTAGGTCAGAAACTAATAAGCAATGAGAATTGAGTTGCAGAGGCCTGCACTATCTGATCTCTTCCCTAGTTTCTTTATATATATATATATTTTTTTTTTCTTTTTTCCTTGAATTTGCCTACTGTATAGGTGCCCTAGAAAAGAATATAGACTAATAAAGGGATAAGATCTGTAATAATTTTTAATATATCACAATATATCACAAACCCCTAAGAGACTAACTGCCCTGTATCTGAAAACCTACACCATGATCAGTGTTATTTCTGAGCAGAATAATACTGGTTACATCTTTACAAACACCTGATGCTATTTTGAGTCAGTTGTTAAGTCACCCCTAGCCAGGTGGTCAAGCATAGAGCTTGGTTATAATTGCACTGAACAGGTGCTCAGCTGGGTAGGAAAGGTTTTACAAATATCAGGAAACTGTTGTGCTTAAATTTCTCATATATAACACTAGTTTAGTGTAAGGCAGTGTTTATTTTTATGATGAACTTTGTACTATTATAATTTGTGGTATCAATAAACAGGTCATTTAAAGGACTTGTAGATTCAAATTATGCTTAATATGACAACTTTACTTCTCACTATGCAATATTAAGTATCTATGTCATAAATATTTTGACCATAAAAACCAAATCTGTTGTCTTACTGCCATGACTACTGTACCCATTGTCTTCAAACATTGAAGATGATTTCATATGCAGTTTTTAGTCTTTGTTTTTACTTTAACTTGGGTTAAATTAAATAAACCTTTGCAAATCCAGACTTACACTGGACTATACTAAAGAAGAAAAATTGTGTCTGAATTAAGTTTACAAATTCCAGAAATTCAGCAGTTTAGTTTTGATTTCATTTGCAATGCCACCTTAATCAGTAACATGAAAGAGAACACTGCAGTGCATGACAAAGGGGATATGGGTATACAATTAAAGCAGTTAGTTAGGAAATGGTGCTATGCACTATAATTGGTTTATAATTGCCATACGCTTGATCACATCCTATAATAATTTTACCACACAATTTCTGGATTTGGAACGATGTTCCCATGGTGGCTTGTCAGGGGCTTTGTGATGTTGGTGTAACTCTTTGTTAATGGAAACATTTCTTTTGGTAAAATATAAATCATTTTGATTTTTTGCATTTTGCTTAGAAGTCGTCCTACAAATCAGAAAGCCCTAGATCATCCAGCTGCTGACTGCTTCCTCATGTAATAAGTGCTTGAAATCCACTGGTTCATTGTACAGCATAACTTTATTGTGGTGACTTGATCTTTCAGGATTTGGGCAGTTACCATCTGCTACTGTACCTTTCTATTTCATGAGCATCTCTCATATTCTCTCTTTTTTTAAAGCTTGTAAAATTTTTGAAAAACTGTAAATGCTGTTTGTCAATCACTTGTATTATAAAAGCAAACTAAAAACATAAATATATGCATATTTATTTTCTTCTTTCATTCATTTGGAGGTTTTGTAATCAGCAGCCAAATTCATAATTACGTCACTCTGAAAGTCAATTGAATAAGAGTTTGATTTTATAGCTGGCAGTTGCCAAGCAGTGAGCTTAATATTTGCTCGGGGAAGCTGTAAAGACATTTCTGTCCTGGATAGGTGAAGTGGTTTGAAATTGCTTGGCACACATTTGACCCATTTTGATGTCAACATAAACTTTTTACTGCACCCCCTGCTAAGTTTGCAAATTGTTTGAAGCAGGCATGATAACAAATGACATTTTTTGTGCTCAACAATAGCTTGTCAATTTCACCTGTTGGTTAGAATGATGAAGGCGTGATGCTGCATTTGATTTTTGCGGTCAGTCATGTGTTTTTTACCATGCCTCAATAAGATTCAATTTAGAAATAATTTGAAGCATCTATGTTTACTTATTTCTTTTGTTCAGAGTCATTTTAATGGCAGGAATCTGTGTTGATTAGGTATATTTTAGACATTAAGTTGTCCAGGTATATGACATATTGATTTATAAGGTTTTTATTTAAGATAAATGGTTTTGTGGTCTATTTATTCATGAAAATATGAGTAAAATTCATGTATTTTTACCTTTAACATAACAAGATTTAAAAAAATAATTAAGATGTGGTTTATGAACCCAAAATGAATAATTAACCATTGGAAATGTGACACAGCAAGTAACTTACTGGTGTGGAACCCATACAAAGCAAATGCTGGAGGAGTTCAACCATTACTTGAATGTATGGTATACATACAATAGACTTTAGCAGGTGGCAGCTAATTTCTCAACATGTGCTTGATAAGTTTCACTATTTATGCACTAGAAAGATCAAAACAGATACATGTCTGCATACTTCGGCATCACCCCTTTTTGTGAGCAGGCATCCACTCTCAACCCATGTTACACCATTACTGTTCCCAAATGAAGATGTTGAAATCATTAATGTTGCAATCTCAACATAGCAGTTTACAGAAAGGGACTATAATTACCAATTGTTTCTGTAACAGATAAGGATAGCAAGGTCCTGGTTGGCTGATAATTGGTGATATATATGTATGTGTATATTTACTTAAACAATACAATTCTGTATTTCATATGGCAGATAAGGGCAATGCAATCCCAACTGGACTTTTAGTGTTTACTTAATGATCATGTGCTTAATACAGAATATGTATTTTTAATTGAGAAAACTAGTCAATTAGTAAATTGATCCCTAGAAAGACAGAGGAGTTTTTGAGTGGATTTTTTTTAAAACTGGCAGCTTTAACTTTTTTAAACTAGCCAGAAATTTTAGGGGGAAAATGGAGAAACTATTGCAACTGAGGGTGATTATGCATGATGATTATGAGTATAAAAGCACCAACAAAGTGTGCAATGATTTAGTGTAAAATTTATAATATGAAACATTTATTGACATCTTCATTCTGTTATTTTGTTGGGATTCATACCCTAGAGATGTGGTAATGCAGTGGTATTGACTGGGCTTAATAATGGGCTTATAACTTAATAATGTATAATATTATAATATTATAAAGATAATTACTGGGACTAATGTCATGTATTTTCTAAAAGTTATCATATAATGATAATAAGATAAAAAAAGATAGAAATGATGAGGATTTTTTAGCTAACACAATTTTCACAGATATGTTTCAATGTTCATACAGCAGTCGAATGGTTATAGGGGAAACCATATGGACATTTATGCTAAAACTGGGTACTGGGCCTGACTTATCACTCGGATCTTGAAGTCAGTGATGCTAGGCTATTTTTATATGTGTTGTTTATTTATGTATATTCATGTGGTTATAGGTGTGGCTAATGGAGGAAGTTGTTTGGTTCTTGCTTTTGTCTGGTCCATTTTACCAAGTTAGATGTTTGTGGCTGGCTCCTGGATGTACCAACATCCTTCCTCATGCTGTGATCTAATCCTGGTCCTATTTATGTATGCACTGAGTGAGACTTGGGCAGTGCATAGTCAGCTATTGATGTGGTGTTTGCAGCCCTAGTTGTACCACTGCTTCAGTTTTCACTACATGGAAAGGTGTCACTGGATTAAATGACAAATTAGCTTGCAGGGACCAGAGTCATCTTATTACTGTTACCTGGAAGTGGTTCACATACACTTTGGTACAAAAAGATTGTCTCAGCCTGTATCTGTGGGTGGAAAAATGAAACTACATGTAGTTCTCACCCAATAGGACCTCATGTAGTTGAGGAGGACTTTGTTTAGTATTAAGGTCAGAATGGCCACTCCATGGAGATAAATGTTGTAACGCATGCAGTGGTACTTAAGATAAGTGAATGACACGCTGTTCATATGCTGGTGGATGCTGGTACAATCATACACTGACTCTGGGTATAGCCAGTGGTTCCTTTGTAGGGAGACTATTTCAGCTAAACTTACTTCAACAAGCACTGAAGTCAGCCAGCCCTCTGTGCTCCAGTTTATAATATATGGATTCTAAAGACAAGCTACATTTTTATTGCTAACCTGTGAGAGATCACATACTATTGCTGATTTTGGTAGGAAAACACTCATTGGCTGCAGTAGTTCATACTTTAGTTGTGAACTAGGAGCTGAAATACCTACTATACTGAAGGTTTGAAAACTAATCAAGCTTGACTTGTGCTACTTTTACTTGAAAGGTAACTTTCTGTTTACAGGAAGGTGATAGGTGGATGTATGGCTTATAACAGGAAATGTATGTTTTCGAGGAAATGTGAGGCTTCCTTAGATGTGGAAGTTTTGTAACTCTGTGAGAAAAAAAAAACAGACTGTTCAAAAGGAAATTGTTTTTTTCCAAGGAATCATGGCACTTCCTTGAATAGGCACATTTTTGAAAAACAGGATTTGTTATTGTATGAATACCAAAATAAAGGCAAATTTACTGAAATGATAATTTATTGATGCCTGATGTTTATGTTTTTTCACTAGAGACATTTCATTGACTGAATGGATGTTTTTAAAGTAACAGCTGAACATTTTGTATGAAGACCAGCAGCAGAATGACTTGATTAATGTGACAAATACACATGAACTAACGCGAGGAAATTTATGCATAATGTATTGAAGTTAAATTGAATGTTGTTACTCAGAGGAGGGAATATAAAAGGATTGCATCAGAAGGATGATTTGAATCTCTAGTTAACTTTTATCAAAATATTTGCTGTTGAGAAGGAAAATTGATCTGTAGTGGACTGAAGCTGAAAAACTTCATTGAACTGTACATTTGGCTGAAGAAAGAACCAGTAAGACATATAACCATAGACCCCTTTGAAGTGTGTTGTTGTACCATGAGACTTTTTTTGAAAATTCAGGAAGGCAAAAGCTTATTCTGTTGGGAGTTTTTGTGAATAGTAGTGAGATATTGAGCTTGATGGCAAATTTAATCCATTTACCACATTGAAAAAAAATTGTGGAAGTCAATCTGTTGCTAAGGAATATTTAAAAAATTTTCTAACATGGAAAATGAAACATATGGATCAAACTGCCAAATGATAGAAAATGAAACACAACAGATAATAGATGTTATGGAACATGTTGGATATGTATACATCATTCCAGTCATCAGTTTATTTGGAGTAATTTTGAATGTTCTCAATTTATTTGTACTATGTGGAAAGCACAGCCCATTGAAAGGCTCATCGTATGCCTACCTAAAGGCCCTAGCTGTTGCTGATGGACTAACCTGTCTTATAGTGGCACCAATTGCTTTTGTACGGTGCACCAACTGTGTTGGGGAGGACATGTATACACGGGCATTTTATGAAGTCTATATTTATCTGCCGTTTGGTAACATTTTTGGCACTTGTAGTGCATGGATAACAGTTGCTGTGGCTGTTGAGAGGTGTATAATGATCAAATTTCCTGTCAAGTCCAAAAAGATATGCAAGTCTTCTGTTGTCTGGAAAGTTGTTGGACTTTTAGTTTTGTGTTCAATGGCAGCTAATGTGATGTATTTCTTTCAAAATTATATAAACAGCAGCAATGTGAAAACTCCAACCCTAATTAGTTTAGACACTGGATTTTTTGTACTTTCATGGATTCGAGCAGCTTTGACCAAATTTATTCCTATTATTTTGTTGGCTGTCCTGAACATGTATCTCATCAAGCATGTATACAAAATGGAGAAAAAGAGAAAATCCATGGTCATCCAACAGACTGTTCAGATGCGGAAACAGCGCACTCAAGTTCGTCTTGCAGCCATGTTGATTGCAGTAGTATTTGCCTTCCTTATTGGGAGTATACCAGTAACATTTGCTCACACTATCATATACAAAGGCATATTTGGCGAGTGTTCTCTCTTTAAATTAGAATACTTTGCTTTCAGACTAGTAGCAAACATACTAGAAATTTTGAATTATACTATGAATTTTGTGCTGTACTGCCTGTTGAACACAAATTTTAATGCACGCCTGCATAGTATATTTTCTTGTGGCAGTGAAATAAAGGTTCAGGCTGAGTTTTCTATGAGCCACCAAGGGCAGAGTGGCCCCTATCCTGAAGGGCAGCAAAGTGATGATAACTCAATAGGGTCTAGATTTTAATATATATTTATATGTATTTGTTATATGTGCTTATTATTACATGTAACAGCTGATACCAGATTAATGGATTGATGTTACAATCATACTTATCTTACTATCATCCTTTTTTATTATGTTTGGTGGGTATTTCCAAATATAAGATGTTTGTTTAGCCATTATCTATTAGCCATTGTCTGGCAGTATTATATACATACAGTGTACATATATATATATCATAATCAGAGAATTGAATACTCATTGGAAAGCATCAGTAAAACCCTTTTCTTTCCTTTTTTTTCCCAGTACATTCAATATTGATATTGTATCTTTGACCAATTTTTAATCGTAGTTAATTAAATTTCATTGGATGTTATGTCGTAATGTATAAGTTATACTGAAAGTAAGTTTCCTTTTCTTTAGATCTGTAGAATATTGAGCTTTAAGAAAGGAACATAATCATTCAGAAATATTTTATAGTTATTCAACTGTACATCTGGCTATGTGTTGATGTTTAAATGGTGATGCATTCATTTTTTGTAATCCAGTATAAAATATGGCATGAACAAGAATGTTATCTGCTATGTAGATATGTGGCACTTAGATATGTGGACATTTTAAGGACTATGTTGCTTGAAGTTTGAAAATATTTAACTTCTGTTTTTATTCTTAAACATGTATTCATTTTTGCTGTCCTATGCAATAAAGAGGTCAGATTTACCTTTTGCCTCTTTTTAAGTGTGTTTCATCATCAGGCAAAGAAGGAAATTATAAAGGAAAATTGAAACTATTTGTCCATTCGTTACTGAGGTATCTGATCACTAGAACAGTATGTTTCAGACCTCATGAACACTGGCTAGAATTTGTTCTGGAAATGTTCCACCAAAATGGACTGGCCCTCAAGAGATAAGTAATTCCTTAACATAGTAATTAGTTTTGTTAGCTGAAAGCTGTTCAGTATTTCTCATCTCGAAAATGATGAAAGTAACTGCATTCTCAACATTAAGAAGACTGAAACTTGGTTAATCTGCGGGCTAATGGGGCAATGTTTTGACAGGACATTCTTTTTCATTTATGTGTTGCTTTTCTAGCAGATAAAATGCTTCCTTTGCAGACTACACTTGAGATATGCTGGTCACGTACATTTTGCATTTTTTAGGGTTCAGTAGCTCAATAAACTTTATTTTATCTGGGAATACTTTGTTTGCTTTTCATTAGTTCTACCATAAAAATAAGGTTATCAGATAGGGACATGATACAAAATAAATAAACATGTCCCAAGGATTTGATTGAAGATGAAATCTAGAGTGAATTTTCAATTGTTATACAGTCGGTGTTTCATTTTGATAATATGATGTTGTAAAGTCTCAAAATGTATATATCTTTGATCTATCAGGAGTGGATTAGCTACTTATTTTTGTTAAAACTAGGATGTGTACAAACAAATTATTTAGAAGTAGTGGTGCATATTTACTTAATGGTTATAGAAGCATATTGAAGTAAGGTGTATGGAGATGCATATTTAACCTGGTTTGTACAGTGGCTTGTTAGCCCTTCAAGCAACTTCAGGCATTTTGTTAGGTGAGAGTGTTACAACATAAAACATTACATTTTGGCATCACTTCACTCTTGCTTTTTTGATGAAGTAAACTGTAAGTTAAGTTGAGATTGGAGCAACAAGGTGATATGAAATCCATAACCACACTTGCTTCATCTCGGCTATGCATCTTGAGGAGCATGAAATGCACTTGGTCAAGGATGATCAGATTGCATAATTAAAAACAATTTTTTTTTGAGTGAAATCCATTATTTTAACCAAAACAGGGTCTAAAAGAGTAACTGCCCAAACTATTTATTTAAGCTCAGATGCAGTAGGTTATTTTATTATGATGTGAAATTAAGTGCACAGAGATATTCCAATGTTTTAGCTTATTTTGTCTCCTGATGAAGTATCTTGACTGAGGCTGGTGTAAGACCAGTTGAATATCTTCTGTTGTCTACATTTACGGTTGATTTTTATTGTCAGTGGGCAGTTCAATATTGACAAATCACTACAGAAGTGTCTTTGATTAACAAACCAGTACAAAATGACAGTTTGGACTTGGATATTTCTAGAAGTGCAAACTATACTAATAAAGTGGGCTTGTACTTCATTCCTTACTTACAATGACGTGCCACACTTTGTTTATTAACGCCTCTTTTTGTTAGAAGCCAGTAGAAATATATTACTGGATTTTATACATTGCACATGAAATTGGTTTCATATTTTGTATTGAATCTGGTATGAAAAAAAGACAAGTACTCCATAGAGAGTACAATTTTTTGACAATATTTTATATTCTGTGCCATTTTTCACCAAGTCAAAAGCCAAAAGATAATCTCTCTTTTCCCGGAATTATATATTTTTGTAAGTTTTTACACAGCCCATTAAACCCGACTTCCTCTTATGAACACAACAATGAAAGATTTCTTAATATATTAAAATATTTAAAAAAAGGATACCTTCACTTTATACTTTGAACTTTTTCAGATTTCCTTGCTGTGGTAAGTGCTATCCATGTGACGTCTGCCATGATGACAAGGAAGGGGACCACGAGATGAAGTTTGCCAATAGGATGGTGTGTGGATTTTGTGCCAAAGAACAGGTAAATGTTGTGATGTGCTTTCAAATATCAGCTTCCATTTTATCAATTGATCAGTGAGAATCTTACTCTACTAGTTCATTAAATTATTGTTTATTTAAATTTAGTTCAGACCAATTATGGATGAAAGGCTCTATTAAATGCCTGTAAACATCCAGTATATATAATCTCAAATGACGTACATAGGAGCACATGCTCAAAATTTTAATTTCTCTAAAATATCTTGTGCATTTAAAGTGTTTAAATGCCCTAGCATTGAGATTTGAACATGAAAAATGTCTTTTTGAAAATGATGATGTCCTGTTCCAGCCCTATTCTAATGAGCGTCCTTGTATAAGCTGTCACAGTCACCTGAAGAAAGTGTCTACCAAGCATTGGGAGGGTGGGAAAGGATGCAGAGATAAGATTGCAATGAGCAGGTAGGGATCTTGTTAAAACAGTTAAGAAAATTAGTTACACCAATGAGCTTGTCATTTCTCTTGCACTCCTAACCACTGTACAGTTGAAAACTTACAGAAAAAATTAAAACTCTCTGAGAAAAATTTGTTTAAAGATGGTAGTTACTGTACAGTAAATGTGGCACAGAGCCAACGATGACTGACACTGACAGTTAAGTTTGTTAGGTAATATAGTGCCCACTAATTAATTCTCATTAATCCTTGCAGCCATTGTTTGGATATTTAAGACTGATTAATTGTAGGGCCAGGCAGGTTTCTTTTTGAGTTTTGATGTGAGTCAATTAAGGATTATATAAAGTTCATTGTTTAGAGAAAATCAGTTCTGTGAGGTTGTGATTGTGTTGTCATGCATACTGCATACAACTTGGAAGACTATCATGTGTCATTTGATGATTTACAGTGACATAGTTATATTCTTAATAACATTGTATTCCCAAAATGCCAGTGTGTCTGGCGATGGATCATCACATTGCAGAACTGTCACATTGGAACTGTATTAAGATCTATAGCAGCTGTTCCTTATTCTGTCTAATTGGGCTTTTCATTAGTTTTATTTTTTTACAGGGATGACAAGAAGAAATATGCCAATTCCTCCAAAACCATTTCCAAGAAGCAACAAGCCTTGGATAAACCTGGGAATGCAAAAACGACAAAGTTGAGACACACATAGATAGTATTTTTGTGACATTTTTTTAAAAAGTCAAAAGTAAGAAAAATATAGTGAGTTCAGGTGCTATGTCTTGTAATCTGATATTAGACAGCAGTTTTCTTTATTAATCAGGTATTGATTTTTGTAGGATAAGTACACTTAAGTAGTGCAAGCCTGGAATTATTTGGGTAGATGATTGAGCATCTATATTAATTTATACACCATCCATTAAGAAGTTGGTATAGTGAAGTTTATGAACATAACAACTTGTTAAATTGTGAAACTAAAATATTCAAAGCTTCCAATAATTTTTTCTTAAATGTGCGTATTTTGGAAACAAATTATGTTAAATTAAAAATTAACGATGTCTATTCAAAAGCATATGTCAACATATACTGAAGTTTATAATTGTTAAATATTTTGCAGCAATAAATATTAAAGGGACACTTTAATTGTAAATTATAAAACAATCTAAGAGTCATTTTATTTCCTGTTCAATTGTACCACAACTCTGATTGCTTGAGTAAATTGTGGACACTGGGCAGGTTTGCAATATTAACAACACTAGAAAGATATTTGAGCTCCTGGGCCATCTACAACTAAGAGTAATGGCACCCTGCTTTGTTAGAGGTTTTTAAAGACAAGTTTCTTAATTTATCAAATTCTACATTTTGTAAGGTAGATGTTTATTTGTCTAGCCACTAACAGGATACACTTCATATCAGGTTTATAGTTGTTTTTATATATTCTGTATCTAGTCATTAAACCTAGACATCAATGTCCATAGGAAATCGCAGCAAATGGCTTATTATCTCTTCATGGACATTTTCCGCGTGTCACATGGGGTTCATTCCTGGTACACAAATGTCTACCAAGTCTCAAGGGAGCTGGCATTTTTAAGCCCAATATGTTATCCAAAAATGGCTCTTGAGATTATGGCTATGAACAGCACTAGTGATGGATTTCTTTCTCTTTAGATGCATTTTGGTTAGATTATTGTTGAAGAGAGCTGGGTTATCGTTGGATGAAAAAAAAAGGAGGACAAATTATCAGGTCCTCGTTTTTACGGGTATAATATATATATATATATAATGTGATTTAAAATGTCCCCAAGCCATATTTTTGTCTTTTAAGATATTAAAATATCCTGCAAAGACCTGAAAAATGATAAACTCCTAAAATGGCAGAACCTGATGTTGTTTCCATGTAAAATGTCAGGAGGGAGTGTTGATCTAAATAAAATCACTTCTCTTTAAAATAGAATCGTACACTGAAGCATCCAAGTCCAGTACGATGGGCTGAAGAGAAAATTGGGAAATTTCCTTTTTCTTGGCCAAAATTAAATTTAGTTGTGAAAAACTTGTATAAAATACAGAAAAATGACAGGAGTTTTAAAATAAATAAAACTGATATTTAAACATGCAATGTCACACAACACACTATACAACACCAATATCAGTATATTTGCACTTGATGTTATTCAAATGCAGACTTTATTCTGCTTGATTGCACAAATCCATACATGCTATTTATCAAAAAAAAAAAAAAAAAAAAGGAATATATCCAGGATTTCTAAGCATATACCCTTCATGGATTATGAGCAATTGAAGGCTGGTGCACAGGAAACTATAAATTTTAAGTGCTTCATTGTTTATCTCTGCTATTCAAAAATTTTTTTACCCTGTTTGCACCATGTTAGACATCTATTAAAGACTACCATTAAAATAACAAATGAGGGTGACAAATCTCTGTGAAGTTATCAATTTGTTCGGGTGATCGCCATTTTCTACAAACTACACACTTTGTAGCCTGGAACAACAAACTAGTAATTTATCCTAAAACATTGTCACAGTGGCAATACATGATGTATATCTGCAAAAAGCACCCCTGTATTGTAAATATATCACAGATAGCACATCCTGCATGTTTAACAAGAATAGGGAAATCTGAAATAATATATGTCACCTCCCCTTTTAAGACATTAACGTGACTATAATTTCCATCCCTCTTCTTCAAAACCTGCAGTTTACAACAATAAAATAAAATGCAATGCAATGCAATATGAACAAACAAATCACTCTTAAGAAGAAAATAACATACATGCACATGGCATCTTGATTAAAATGCAGAGAACTGGACAAACCTACAAACTTAATATGGAAGAAGTACACTAGATTTAATATACCTAGTAAAAGCTGTCAAGGTGAGCAGAATCAGTTTTTAGTCTAAATTAGAAAGAGTAACAATACATTAATTTGTACATTAAATAGTACTTGGTACTATCAGCTTGACAGGCTACAGGAGGATGATACGAAGACAAGCTATGTGAGCACAAGTAAGCAGGGAAGCTATGATAAGAAAACTGTTTGCAGGTCTTAATGAAATGTAAGAAAAAAGCTATCACCCAAATTTTTATGTCATTGTATATCTAAGGGGTTGTTAACCAATAATTGGCATGAAAAAGATCTGTTGTAACAAAAAAAAAACATGAATAGAGAAATAGAAATTCTCAAGTACAGTAATGCACAACTAACATGAAATAAAAAAGTCATCAATATCAGTCTGTCAATATTATTTTTGCTACAAAAACCTTGTCTTCAACCTTGGGAACATACATACTTTTTGTGTATCCATTTCAATTTCATCTAAAAGCAAGTATCAAAATTCCTTTACAGTAGCAATTTTGAAAAAGAAGCATCTCTGCTTTTAGGGACTGCTTACAAATTTCCTATACTGTCCAACTACAACTGTGTTAGTTGATCCAAAGCTTTATCCTTGTCACAATTATGTTTTACTAGAGCTTCCTTGACTTTTGCAGGGTGAAATCCCATCTGTTTAAAGTTGGTTAACATTTCAAGATAGTCTTTAACCTAAAATACAAATAATAAAAAGATACATAAGATTTTTCATAATAACCTCAGCAGCTTTAATTTGTTAAATGAACAACTATTGGTAATTATTTGAATGTTTACAATGAATGCTATGTAGCAGGACCTCCTCATTATTGACAAAAGGATTTTCTGAGTGGAGAGAAACTACATGGTTGATTCAGACAGATGTTGAGATAAAATGAAGTGAGATGCTGCGAGTTCTCTGTGTTATAGGAAGTACAGGAAAAAACTGACCTACTGCAAATAGTGAATTATTCTTCACTGTCTGATTATTAGACTTAGATGAGATTATATTTTACTTAAACTATTTATGAAAAGAAGTGTTATTTTTTGATCCAGTTCATACCTTTGTATCCTGTTCTGGAAATGAGAATAATGCGTCTTCTGCATCAGCAGCTGTGTATCCCTTCTCCAGTAGACTGCCAAGATGACACAAGTGATCCACCACCTAAAACATGCAAATATTTCCCATCAATTTTTAAAAAAAGACACTCAAATATTTTACAGTTTTTGTCATCTAAGTTATTAAAAATTGCCACCATTATCCCATGTAAGTGAGAATCCAGCTGAAGGACTGTCAACATACCATCCTGACAACTCACCTGTTTATCATCCATTCCCAGTTTTTCCACAGCTCTTGCCACCCTGGCTTGAGGAAACCCCATACTAACAACACTGTCAACCAGCCTCTGGGATTCATTGGACAGTTTACTATATGGATTTCTTTCTCTTGGTGCTGGTCTAGGAGGTGGAGTGGCCCTGGCAGGACCTGCCTGTGGCGGACTGGACGTCTGAGGAGTACTGGGAAGAGGAGAGTACCTGTTCCAAGCCTGTATGGCATAATAGAAGGAAGAATGGTTAATTTTTTTCCCTTAAATTGTTTCATGTCATGTTAACATATTAAAAATTTCAACATCTTTTTCTTGTCACTGATTTCATATTTAATTGAACTGAATTTTGTGATTGTGTTTCGTTCTTGGTGTTCACAAGAGTTATCTTTGAGTGTAACCAGGAAAAAATCCACCCTTAGTATGTTTTGCCCTCACTTGCATGTTGTCATTTTCAGGTTTGTAATTTGTAAATCATTTAGACACATGAATGTCTCATGAATAAGAACTAAAATCAGGATGGAAAGGGATATCTTTGTAACTATATTTCTATACTTTTCACTACTTGAGACAAGACTAATGTGTACAGTGCACCAAGTTTCAAGTTACTGTGAACTTCATAAAACTAGAATTTGTACTAAGTTGCTGCGCTCCAAATTCTACTAATTGTATTATCAGCAACAGCATGCATCACTTTGTTATAAAGGCAGTTATAATTTTTAATAAAGTCGTGCAAATTGTGATGTTATTTTTATAGATTATATGACAACATATACAAAGAAAAAAATCAAAAGGGCAAATCTAAGGTACACTTGCAAAGTGTTTTCCTCCATCAAAAAGTGGAGGGTGAAAGTCAAAGTTTGAAAGATCGTGACATTCTAAAACATCAAAATATGATGGGTTAAAAATTCAACTAAATACAAATCCTCTACAAACTTTTACAGGTTGAAACTGAAATGTGATTTTGACCTCAAGGGTAGTCCTAATACATCAGTATTCAACCAGCATTCATGAACTAATTAAAACTAGGATTAACATGCATCTGTTAAGGGCTTTAATTGACAAAAAAGTCTACAAAAGTCTAGCTTACCCACCAAAATTATCGTTTTAATCAAATGACCAAAAAATCTATTTGTTTTAAAATACGTTTCTGCTCATAACGATGACTGTACAAATAAGGGTTCGTTCACATGAAAAATCTATTTTCTAAAAATCTAAAAATCTATTGGCGGTATCTTGTGATCACGGTCTGTGCCCTGAATACCCCGCAGCGTAATTACTGGCAGCGCGAGCGAGTTACTTCCAAATTGAAGGCTGGCCAAATTGAAGGTTGAACATTTTGTGTGCACTCGGGTAAATCACTGCCTGGCTGCTTGAGGCTTTTAAGCCGCTTCCACTGATTGCAAATTACAAGAATCGCCTTCAGAGTTGGACCAACCCAAGTAGTGTTATGTAGATATCCGAATGGGGTCTCAGTACCCTAACTCTCTTAGTCAGTTTAACTATCCAGACAGCCATCTTGTTTTGTTCAAATGTAGTGTGAACTGGGGGCCCTGTTATATAACTGTGCATGCTTCATTCTTCTGTCTGACCTAAAATAATCACCCAGCACCCCCCCACCCCCCACCCCCCAGCATTATTTACTGAAGGTGTTAAGCAAGAAAGCATACTAACACTAGCACTGCATGACACACTGTCAACCAAGACCACACCTTCCTGGCTCACCTGGCCAGAAGACACCCGTGATGGGGGAGACTTTGTTGTAAGATAAGGACTTAATGGAGCCCTCTCTACCTGGGATATGTCTGGGGTACTGCGTGAGCTCCTCCGGGAATCCTGAAATGATGGTCCTGAGCTAGCGCTAAAGCTAGCAGTTATGTTTGATTTTTCCAGGTTTAAGCTTTCATGAATTGCACTGTCATGTCTGCTGTACCGTCCATACGAGGTCTGAGTTGACCGACTGCCATCCCAAGAAGAAAGCACAGAAGGTTCTCCAAATTTTAGGTTTGAATTAGTGAGTGTAGAGTCACAGTCTGAGACTTTATTTCCCGCTCCAATAGGAGGGAGTGGAGAACTAACCAAAGCTGTCATAGCACCAATTGGAGGCAGCTTGGGAATTTTACTTTCTGGCAAACTTCTTCTTTTCTGTCCTAAAACTTCCTTATGAGTTCCAGGTCCCCCATTTCTTAGGACACCAGTGTTTATATTTGGTTTTTGAGCTACATGCGGTTTGTAGGAAACTCTATCTATGGAAGTTTGTAATGTTACTCCAACAGAGTCAACTTCTACATTCTCACCACCATTAATTTCCTTGCCCGTGTTTTGACTGTGAATATTTGAATTGTTTGTATTTTCTTCACAATTATGACCAATCCCATTGGCTACTAGCCTGTTGTCGTTTTCCTGAGAGGACACAGAAAACAAATTCTTTAACTCCTCTCTATCATTGATTGTCTGCAGGGTTAAGTTATCAAAAGGGTCTTGTTCATTTTCAAAGTCTGCTAGGTTTATTCTAGCATTCTGTGCATCTCTGTTTTCATCTGTGTTCACTCTGTCCCTGGCAATGGGAACAGGAGTGAGAATATCACTACTTATGTTGGCCAGTAATGGATTGACTTTCTCTGGGTGTCCAATATGTCCATTTTGTTTCAAGTGAGCATTTTCTACTGGCTGTCCCACATGGTCAGAACTGTTTGGGCAGTCTCCTCTTTCTGTTGTATGCATATTATACTCATTATTCTCCAGTTGGTTAATTTGTTCCTCTCTAGAAATTTCCAATTCTTCTTCAGCTTCTCTCTGTGCCTCTGCATAATTCAGAACGGCTTGTTCTACTTCAAAATCATACTGAAATCAAACAAATACGTCAAATTAAGTCATGCATCACAACTATTTTGTATGCTGTACTTGTTATTAATATAAATACAATTGAAACATGACCTATAATAGTATTTGATAAAACCAACTAACCAAGTCCTCAAACAAATACTTTCACCACTATTTACATTTCAGGTGGTACTGGTAAACAGTCTGATGTTAATTTGTTTACAATGGCAAAATTGATGTTAACAATAAATCAGATTCAAGACAATTCAAGACAATAAGTTGCCTGTGCCTATCCTTGAGACATTCTTCAGTCAACTTGCTATTCAATAATGTAATTAAGAAACTTACCATTTCTGATAAAATGTTCCTGGGATCTGGCATTTGGAAACTCAGAGGAAGTGAAACCTAAAACAGAATGATGTCCTTTATTCGTCACATTGTCACATCCCTCTGTGGAAGTTACCCAGACTTTTCACAGTATCGTCCATTATTATAGTTCTAAATTTTTTAAAATTTTCAACGTGTTGCTTGTAGTTAAAGGTGCCCAGTGTAAGATTTTCCTGCAAACTCATATTAAAAATAAATTCTCAGATAAACGGCATTTTTCTTCAACAAACCAACTTCTGACCCTCTTTCCTGACATTCACAGTATGTTTGTAACAATTTGGGAAAATCAAAAAGTTCTTAATCCACAGTTTTTAAAGCATTTTCTTTTCAAATTCTACCATCACATCATTGACAGGTGATGAGGTCACGAAGTGATAAATCAGATTATTTTGGGCCACATTAATTCATGGCACCCGTTTTTCAAATTATCAAAAAGTACCATTTGTCCTCAGATAAGTTAAAAAAACAAGGTTTATGCACTTTAAGTGTGTTTAAAACCTTACACTTTAGAAGTGACCGTCTTTAGAAGTGACCCTCAAAGTCTAGCTAACATGACTTACCTTACTTGGAGGTTTGGTGGCTTCTGAGATCTTAAAGGGCACTCCATCCATATAGGGATTTGAGCTGCTGTGTGATACTGTGTAAAAAGAAATGTTGATCATAAAGACCTTTAACATCAATTGATTTTATTTACAACTTATTTCTCTCTCACTTTTTGTAATAAAATTATTTTTAACACTAAAGAAAAAATTTCTTAAAGTAAATTTACATGCAGTTGAAAAATGTTTAAGTCTGCTTTATGATATCCTTATTATTTTTGTAGAACCTGGTAAACTGTAAACAGTACATTCCCTTCCAAAATTGTTCTAATTACTACCAAGTATCTGACACCTCTTTCCTGATCAGTCATAGTATTATACTGAACTAACACACAGCGAATATGATATGATACTTAAGAATCAAAGACAACTACTGTCACAATACAAAGAAGTGCAATAAATGCAAAAATACATGTTTTAAAGCAAAAAATTCAAAGATCTTATTTTTTTGCTATACTAACAAGAAAAAAAATAATAATCTAACTGTTGGCTAAGCTGATTTTTTAGACCCTAATCAGCTGGTATTAGTGAGTAGGCCATGACTGTTGACTTTTTGATAAAAAAAATCATATTTGAAATACCGATAGGTCTAAGTGTCTCTGCATAAACCTTTCCTGCTGATTGTCTAATTAGGTAGGACTCACTAATAGCAGCAAAGGTTCATATACATAAAGTTCCCAGTTTCCTGCTTACTGTCACCTTTTTTGTTGGGTTCCACTCAGCTACCTTTGAATATAAAGAGTACCATCTGCCTATGAAATGCTTAGCTCATTCAGATAGTAAGCATAAGTCATAAAATAATATAAAGGGCTTGATTTGTCTACAAGCTTACTTACCAATGCTGGCATATGAGTGAAATCACTTGGAAATCTAATGTCCAAAAGTGACGTAAACTAACCAAGGAAATATACCATGCAATGCCCAATTGCCATATTGACCAACAGTGAACCATAAACATGACAACCATGTTCTCAAATGTGCAAACTACTCTTCTACAGGTGACAGAAAAATGACAATTTGGTCGGTTGATGCAAAAGATCTACAACAGGCACCAGGAAAGAAGTATACATGTACATTCCCAAACTTACCATGTCTAACAACAACAGAACTTACCACTGCTCGACCGCATATACTCCATTATGCTTTCAGCTACGTATTTTAATACCTTAGTGACTCTGAAAAATGTAGCAAATAAATGACATGGATGTAAATCATGCAATCAAACTGATACTGATAACATCATTTGCCTGTCGATGTCACTAAGCTACAGATAATTGCAATTTTGCCTCGAATATTTGGTATCAGTATAAATAAACACATTACCAGTAAACTCAACAACAATCAAAATTATATAAAGAAAGTCCACGGTGTATCAAAATGCACCACTACCTTTTTAATACCAGGACAGAAAACACAAATGACACAGCAGTGCTGATTCATAGGCCTGTGGTCCAAAATATTATTCTGCCATGTTGAAACTGCATCTGACGTCATTCAGAAAAATATTGGCCTACAATAAAAAATCCTTCGGATTCTTCATATCACGACCACTAAATGAGTTCAAGATTGTCAAAAATATTCACCAAAGAAAAAAAAGAAAGCGCATAAATATTTAAGATATGTCTCCATTTTTCTCGTGTACTCGATACTTTCATACCGTGTTGACTTCCGGTTAGGACGAGAGCTGACGACGTATTTGAAAGATCCGCAAATGGTTTGTTTTTAACCAAAAAAAGTTTATGTACAGTTGTCCTTTACGTTTTGAAGATGTATCGTAGGTCAAATTACAGCGCAGATAATTTTAGCCACCAAGGAGATGGATATGCACCACAAAGTAAGTGAATCCCGCAACCGTCACTTACGCACTTTTGGCCAGTATATTAGTCTGGTGGAGAGCAAAAGAGGTGTTTTGACAATAATTAAATAAATAAATAAATAAAAATAAATAATAATAATAATAAGAAGAAGAAGAAGAATATAATTCCTCAAATTATCATAAACTGACATGTTAGTTAAAAGGCTTCTCGTACTCCTAGTAAGACGTTCAAGTTGTTCTTTTACATCACTCTTAACTTAGTCAAAGTTCCCAGACGTCATTTTTAAGAATGAGCCAAAGATGAAAGGTGTAAAACTTGAATTCAATCCCAAAATATTTTCCTAGACACTTGAAGTTTATCACACAGTTAGTGTCTGAGCTGGGCATGAACACACAGTCAACATTTTGGTTTAGGCAGGATCTGGCATTAACTCTTGTACAGTACTCCTAGTAAGCCCTTGTTCTTTTACATGGCATATATTTTGTCTTGCTGCTGTCAACTNAAAAAGGTCATCAATATCAGTCTGTCAATATTATTTTTGCTACAAAAACCTTGTCTTCAACCTTGGGAACATACATACATACTTTTTGTGTATCCATTTCAATTTCATCTAAAAGCAAGTATCAAAATTCCTTTACAGTAGCAATTTTGAAAAAGAAGCATCTCTGCTTTTAGGGACTGCTTACAAATTTCCTATACTGTCCAACTACAACTGTGTTAGTTGATCCAAAGCTTTATCCTTGTCACAATTATGTTTTACTAGAGCTTCCTTGACTTTTGCAGGGTGAAATCCCATCTGTTTAAAGTTGGTTAACATTTCAAGATAGTCTTTAACCTAAAATACAAATAATAAAAAGATACATAAGATTTTTCATAATAACCTTAGCAGCTTTAATTTGTTAAATGAACAACTAATGGTAATTATTTGAATGTTTACAATGAATGCTATGTCGCAGGACCTCCTCATTAATGACAAAAGGATTTTCTGAGTAGAGAGAAACTACATGGTTGATTCAGACAGATGTTGAGATAAAATGAAGTGAGATGCTGCGAGTTCTCCGTGTTATAGGAAGTACAGGAAAAAACTGACCTACTGCAAATAGTGAATTATTCTTCACTGTCTGATTATTAGACTTAGATGAGATTATATTTTACTTAAACTATTTATGAAAAGAACTGTTGTTATTTTTTTGATCCAGTTCATACCTTTGTATCCTGTTCTGGAAATGAGAATAATGCGTCTTCTGCATCAGCAGCTGTGTATCCCTTCTCCAGTAGACTGCCAAGATGACACAAGTGATCCACCACCTAAAACATGCAAATATTCCCCATCAATTTAAAAAAACACACTCAAATATTTTACAGTTTTTGTCATCTAAGTTATTAAAAATTGTCACCATAATCCCATGTAAGTGAGAATCCAGCTGAAGGACTGTCAACATACCATCCTGACAACTCACCTGTTTATCATCCATTCCCAGTTTTTCCACAGCTCTTGCCACCCTGGCTTGAGGAAACCCCATACTAACAACACTGTCAACCAGCCTCTGGGATTCATTGGACAGTTTACTATATGGATTTCTTTCTCTTGGTGCTGGTCTAGGAGGTGGAGTGGCCCTGGCAGGACCTGCCTGTGGCGGACTGGACGTCTGAGGAGTACTGGGAAGAGGAGAGTACCTGTTCCAAGCCTGTATGGCATAATAGAAGGAAGAATGGTTAATTTTTTTCCCTTAAATTGTTTCATGTCATGTTAACATATTAAAAATTTCAACATCTTTTTCTTGTCACTGATTTCATATTTAATTGAACTGAATTTTGCGATTGTGTTTCGTTCTTGGTGTTCACAAGAGTTATCTTTGAGTGTAACCAGGAAAAAATCCACCCTTAGTATGTTTTGCCCTCACTTGCATGTTGTCATTTTCAGGTTTGTAATTTGTAAATCATTTAGACACATGAATGTCTCATGAATAAGAACTAAAATCAGGATGGAAAGGGATATCTTTGTAACTATATTTCTATACTTTTCACTACTTGAGACAAGACTAATGTGTACAGTGCACCAAGTTTCAAGTTACTGTGAACTTCATAAAACTAGAATTTGTACTAAGTTGCTGCGCTCCAAATTCTACAAATTGTATTATCAGCAACAGCATGCATCACTTTGTTATAAAGGCAGTTATAATTTTTAATAAAGTCGTGCAAATTGTGATGTTATTTTTATAGATTATATGACAGCATATACAAAGAAAAAAATCAAAAGGGCAAATCTAAGGTACACTTGCAAAGTGTTTTCCTCCATCAAAAAGTGGAGGGTGAAAGTCAAAGTTTGAAAGATCGTGACATTCTAAAACATCAAAATATGATGGGTTAAAAATTCAACTAAATACAAATCCTCTACAAACACTTTTACAGGTTGAAACTGAAATGTGATTTTGACCTCAAGGGTAGTCCTAATACATCAGTATTCAACCAGCATTCATGAACTTATTTAAACTAGGATTAACATGCATCTGTTAAGGGCTTTAATTGACAAAGAAGTCTACAAAAGTCTAGCTTACCCACCAAAATTATCATTTTAATCAAATGACCAAAAAATCTATTTGTTTTAAAATACGTTTCTGCTCATCACGTTTCTGATGACTGTACAAATAAGGGTTTGTTCACATGAAAAATCTATTTTCTAAAAATCTAAAAATCTATTGGCGGTATCTTGTGATCACGGTCTGTGCCCTGAATACCCCGCAGCGTAATTACTGGCAGCGCGAGCGAGTTACTTCCAAATTGAAGGCTGGCCAAATTGAAGGTTGAACATTTTGTGTGCGCTCGGGTAAATTACTGCCTGGCTGCTTGAGGCTTTTAAGCCGATTCCACTGATTGCAAATTACAATCGCCTTCAGAGTTGGACCAACCCAAGTAGTGTTGTGTAGATATCCGAATGGGGTCTCAGTACCCTAACTCTCTCAGTCAGTTTAACTATCCAGACAGCCATCTTGTTTTGTTCAAATGTAGTGTGAACTGGGGGCCCTGTTATATAACTGTGCATGCTTCATTCTTCTGTCTGACCTAAAATAATCACCCAGCACCCCCCCCCACCCCCCCACCCACCCACCAGCATTATTTACTGAAGGTGTTAAGCAAGAAAGCATACTAACACTAGCACTGCATGACACACTGTCAACCAAGACCACACCTTCCTGGCTCACCTGGCCAGAAGACACCCGTGATGGGGGAGACTTTGTTGTAAGATAAGGACTTAATGGAGCCCTCTCTACCTGGGATATGTCTGGGGTACTGCGTGAGCTCCTCCGGGAATCCTGAAATGATGGTCCTGAGCTAGCACTAAAGCTAGCAGTTATGTTTGATTTTTCCAGGTTTAAGCTTTCATGAATTGCACTGTCATGTCTGCTGTACCGTCCATACGAGGTCTGAGTTGACCGACTGCCATCCCAAGAAGAAAGCACAGAAGGTTCTCCAAATTTTAGGTTTGAATTAGTGAGTGTAGAGTCACAGTCTGAGACTTTATTTCCCGCTCCAATAGGAGGGAGTGGAGAACTAACCAAAGCTGGCATAGCACCAATTGGAGGCAGCTTGGGAATTTTACTTTCTGGCAAACTTCTTCTTTTCTGTACTAAAACTTCCTTATGAGTTCCGGGTCCCCCATTTCTTAGGACACCAGTGTTTATATTTGGTTTTTGCGTTACATGCGGTTTGTAGGAAACTCTATCTATGGAAGTTTGTAATGTTACTCCAACAGAGTCAACTTCTACATTCTCACCACCATTAATTTCCTTGCCCATGTTTTGACTGTGAATATTTGAATTGTTTGTATTTTCTTCACAATTATGACCAATCCCATTGGCTACTAGCCTGTTGTCGTTTTCCTGAGAGGACACAGAAAACAAATTCTTTAACTCCTCTCTATCATTGATTGTCTGCAGGGTTAAGTTATCAAAAGGGTCCTGTTCATTTTCAAAGTCTGCTAGGTTTATTCTAGCATTCTGTGCATCTCTGTTTTCATCTGTGTTCACTCTGTCCCTGGCAATGGGAACAGGAGTGAGAATATCACTACTTATGTTGGCCAGTAATGGATTGACTTTCTCTGGGTGTCCAATATGTCCATTTTGTTTCAAGTGAGCATTTTCTACTGGCTGTCCCACATGGTCAGAACTGTTTGGGCATTCTCCTCTTTCTGTTGTATGCATATTATACTCATTATTCTCCAGTTGGTTAATTTGTTCCTCTCTAGAAATTTCCAATTCTTCTTCAGCTTCTCTCTGTGCCTCTGCATAATTCAGAACGGCTTGTTCTACTTCAAAATCATACTGAAATCAAACAAATACGTCAAATTAGGTCATGCATCACAACTATTTTGTATGCTGTACTTGTTATTAATATAAATACAATTGAAACATGACCTATAATAGTATTTGATAAAACCAACTAACCAAGTCCTCAAACAAATACTTTCACCACTATTTACATTTCAGGTGGTACTGGTAAACAGTCTGATGTTAATTTGTTTACAATGGCAAAATTGATGTTAACAATAAATCAGATTCAAGACAATTCAAGACAATAAGTTGCCTGTGCCTATCCTTGAGACATTCTTCAGTCAACTTGCTATTCAATAATGTAATTAAGAAACTTACCATTTCTGATAAAATGTTCCTGGGATCTGGCATTTGGAAACTCAGAGGAAGTGAAACCTAAAACAGAATGATGTCCTTTATTCGTCACATCCCTCTGTGGAAGTTACCCAGACTTTTCACAGTATTATCGTCCATTATTATAGTTCTAAATTTTTTAAAATTTTCAACGTGTTGCCTGTAGTTAAAGGTGCCCAGTGTAAGATTTTCCTGCAAACTCATATTAAAAAAAAATTCTCAGATAAACGGCATTTTTCTTCAACAAACCAACTTCTGACCCTCTTTCCTGACATTCACAGTATGTTTGTAACAATTTGGGAAAATCAAAAAGTCCTTAATCCACAGTTTTTAAAGCATTTTCTTTTCAAATTCTACCATCACATCATTGACAGGTGATGAGGTCACGAAGTGATAAATCAGATTATTTTGGGCCACATTAATTCATGGCACCCGTTTTTCAAATTACCAAAAAGTACCATTTGTCCTCAGATAAGTGACACTTTAGAAGTGACCGTCTTTAGAAGTGACCCTCAAAGTCTAGCTAACATGACTTACCTTACTCGGAGGTTTGGTGGCTTCTGAGATCTTAAAGGGCACTCCATCCATATAGGGGTTTGAGCTGCTGTGTGATACTGTGTGAAAAGAAATGTTGATCATAAAGACCTTTACCATCAATTGATTTTTATTTACAACTCATTTCTCTCTCACTTTTTGTAATAAAATTATTTTTAACACTAAAGAAAAAATTTCTTAAAGTAAATTTACATGCAGTTGAAAAATGTTTAAGTCTGCTTTATGATATCCTTATTATTTTTGTAGAACCTGGTAAACTGTAAACAGTAAATTCCCTTCCAAAATTGTTCTAATTACTACCAAGCATCTGACACCTCTTTCCTGATCAGTCATAGTATTATACTGAACTAACACACATCCAATATGATATGATACTTAAGAATCAAAGACAACTACTGTCACAATACAAAGAAGTACAATAAATGCAAAAATACATGTTTTAAAGCAAAAAATTTAAAGATCTTATTTTTTTGCTATACTAACAAGAAAAAAAAAATAATAATCTAACTGTTGGCTAAGCTGATTTTTTAGACCCTTATCAGCTAGTATTAGTGAGTAGGCCATGACTGTTGACTTTTTGATAAAAAAAATCATATTTGAAATACCGATAGGTCTAAGTGTCTTTGCATAAACCTTTCCCGCTGATTGTCTTATTAGGTAGGACTCACTAATAGCAGCAAAGGTTCATATACATAAAGTTCCCAGTTTCCTGCTTACTGTCACCTTTTTTGTTGGGTTCCACTCAGCTACCTTTGGATATAAAGAGTACCATCTGCCTATGAAATGCTTAGCTCATTCAGATAGTAAGCATAAGTCATAAAATAATATAAAGGGCTTGATTTGTCTACAAGCTTACTTACCAATGCTGGCATATGAGTGAAATCACTTGGAAATCTAATGTCCAAAAGTGACGTGAACTAACCAAGGAAATATACCATGCAATGCCCAATTGCCATATTGACCAACACTTGAACAGTGAACCATAAACATGACAACCATGTTCTCAAATGTGCAAACTACTCTTCTACAGGTGACAGAAAAATGACAATTTGGTCGGTTGATGCAAAAGATCGACAACAGGCACCAGAAAAGAAGTATACATGTACATTCCCAAACTTACCATGTCTAACAACAACAGAACTTACCACTGCTCGACCGCATATACTCCATTATACTTTCAGCTACGTATTTTAATACCTTAGTGACTCTGAAAAATGTAGCAAATAAATGACATGGATGTAAATCATGCAATCAAACTGATACTGATAACATCATTTGCCTGTCGATGTCACTAAGCTACAGATAATTGCAATTTTGCCTCGAATATTTGGTATCAGTATAAATAAGACACATTACCAGTAAACTCAACAACAATCAAAATTATATAAAGAAAGTCCACGGTGTATCAAAATGCACCACTACCTTTTTAATACCAGGACAGAAAACACAAATGACACAGCAGTGCTGATTCATAGGCCTGTGGTCCAAAATATTATTCTGCCATGTTGAAACTGCATCTGACGTCATTCAGAAAAATATTGGCCTACAATAAAAAATCCTTCGGATTCTTCATATCACGACCACTAAATGAGTTCAAGATTGTCAAAAATATTCACCAAAGAAAAAAAGAAAGCGCATATGTATTTAAGATATGTCTCCATTTTTCTCGTGTACTCGATACTTTCATACTGTGTTGACTTCCGGTTAGGACGAGAGCTGACGACGTATTTGAAAGATCCGCAAATGGTTTGTTTTTAACCAAAAAAAGTTTATGTACAGTTGTCCTTTACGTTTTGAAGATGTATCGTAGGTCAAATTACAGCGCAGATAATTTTAGCCACCAAGGAGATGGATATGCACCACAAAGTAAGTGAATCCCGCAACCGTCACTTATGCACTTTTGGCCAGTAGTCTGATGGAGAGCAAAAGAGGTGTTTTGACAATAATTAAATAAATAAATAAATAAATAAAAATAAATAATAATAATAAGAAGAAGAATATAATTCCTCAAATTATCATATACTGACATGTTAGTTAAAAGGCTTCTCGTACTCCTAGTAAGACGTTCAAGTTGTTCTTTTACATCACTCTTAACTTTGTCAAAGTTCCCAGACGAATGAGCCAAAGATGAAAGGTGTAAAACTTGACTTTCAATCCCAAAATACTTTCCTAGACACTTGAAGTTTATCACACAGTTAGTGTCTGAGCTGGGCATGAACACACAGTCAAAATTTTGGTTTAGGCAGGATCTGGCATTAACTCTTGTACTCCTAGTAAGCCCTTGTTCTTTTACATTGCATATATTTTGTCTTGCTGCTGTCAACTGACTTTTTAAAATATTTATTTTTAAAGATTGTACTATAACTTTTTCATTTTCAACCTTTTCTAGATTATCAAAATACTGCCTACAGAATCAGTTCCCACCTGTTCCTAGTCATGTCTCTGTACAAGATGGAATAGTTGAGATGCAGAATACAATTCAAAATATATATAGAAACCTGACACTGGGACACTTTATGGGGGTTTGCAAAAACTAACAATTACTGGTAGCACTACCTACCCCAGTACAATCACCCATGGACCCTACTGATACATACAAACATTATGATAAATAATAATATTTGATAAAAAAAAAGAGGCATGTGTATTTCTGGACATGGATTTGCTATACCACACTATTCTACCATAATGCAAAACCCTGATCAAAATAGGTTGAGTTTTTCTGAACAAATTATGAAATAGTTAACTATATTAGTATATAGTCTACTTTGCCAAACATACATGGTGATTTTTTTAAGAAACCTCTCATGGGCCTGAAGCCCTATGAAAGTTTTAAAAAATGGAATCAAATTCACATTGGTGTAGAGAAGATGCATTAGTGAATGACTGGTGACTTGTGATGTGCTTACAGGTGACTTATACAAAACAACATGGTTGAATAATTCCTCTAGAGGGCTGGAGGCTTATTACAGTATTCAGGCCCGTAGCCAGCAATTTCAGAGGGGTGGTTCATTTTCTGAAAAAGTGGACCTTTTACCACAAAATTCTCATGTACATACCTGTAGATCAAATTTTACCAAGAGTGGACCTTTTCCCAGCAAAAAGGGTGGTTCTTTCGAACCCCCCGAACCCCCCCTGGCTACGGGCCTGGTATTATTACTTGTCCAAATAGTGTCCTAAGCTCTACTCTAGTAACTAGAATAGATTACTATAGTGAAAGGCTAAGTATGGAGCAGAGTAAGCCCTAGCTATATCCTTTAGTAAAATGATAAGTTTGCAGCAGGTTTCCTGCAAATTTGCCACAAACAATTTAGTTTGGCAAACATTCTCTGATTTATAGGAGAAAAATGAGTCTGAGTTGAAGCAGCACTCCCAACACATAGAGTAGGAGCCTTAAAAGAGCAAATTCATACAAGCAGGTTTGTGAGAAATATAAAAAATTAGCCCATTACTTTTGTGTAGAAGCATTAAAATGCCCAGCAGATTACACAGCACAGAAGCCATTGTTTCAGACTCTATCTACTCAGATACATGTAGCTACATTTCTTTGTAATGTCTTCCTTTCAGGTCAAATAACAAACAGCAAAGCAGCCCATCATGAATTAGATGGAGTAGAATTTCAGCTTAGTGATAAATACAGAATAATTACTGAAAAGGTGAGAAGTGTCATAAAGAGGCATTTTACTGGTAGAAATATTTTTATCAAAATATCCTTGAAATGGTTAGAACATTTGCCATGCTTAACTTATAATGCAGATAGAGAATGGGGGACAGGTTATTTGATAATTACATGTTATTAATACATAAAATATCATATAATATCATCTTGTTAACACTTGTAGATTACACTCCCATTGAACTATGAAGATCGCAAACTTTCCTTAGAAAACATGAAGGTAAAGTATCATCCTGGTCAAGCATGTATAATTACTCAAACCAAATTGTTGACAATTCATTGTACCATTGGCAAAGGACAATCTGTTTTCCATAATCAAATTAAAGGGAAAGTTAAAACTATTTGTAAAGATTTTTTTTGATGGAATTTAAACTTGGGGATCCTAATGAGTAATTCAGTTATCATTTGTCTTTACATAATTGTCCATCAAAAGTACTTTTGAGATATTTTTACATTTCAGTATGATTTTTCCCTTGAGAAGAAAGTTTTAGAAAACACTGCATCTTGATTGCATTCAGTGGACAGAGAGAGAGAGAGAGAGACATGGTGAGGCAAAGCCTAAGATTTAAGAAGAATGGTGCAATGTGGACTTCTTGCAATATGTGTGTTTACATATTGAAGCTATTTTGGCTGGCCAGAATTTAGAGTTTTATGTGATTTGTATAATGATGAAAACATTCTTATCATGAACTTTTTTTTCTAAAAAAGCTGGTCTTACTGCTATAGTATAAAGCTGAGGATTTATGCTATTTTTATTTCCTATAGTATTTTAATGATGCAGTTGCACTTAATTTACCACAGCGAATTTACCACTTACTTTTTATCAATGCTGGTGAGTCAAACTATTTCTTTGCTTTTATTTGGTTTTATTTAAAGATAAATATATATTCTTCTGAAAAAATGTTGTGGTAAACTTCTTCTTTATAAACCATTGGTCGCAAAATTTATATATTTTCATTTATTGAAAAACAGTATGTATATTTTTGCTGTTGGATGCATTATGATGCAAAAGTATGATTTTAAAATTAGAAAGGCCTTAGCACTCTTAAATTGCTCAAAATTTTTGTTGTAATACACCTTAACCCTATGGAAATGATGACATTAGAACAAGTTCTTTTTTCAGATATTAAGAATTTGCATGATTTCATTTATTACCATTTTTATAGAAGGGATAAAATGTAAAAAATAACTAGTGAAACTGAAAATAGAAACTGAATGGATGAGCCATTTTCTCAAAATTTCACAAAAATCTCTTTGATTATATTTTTTACATTTTCATCATCATTATTATTATTATTATTTTATGTATTATTTTATAAATATTAAGGACATTCACTATTTGGACTTAAAGCCATCAGCTTCGTCTGTTGCAGTTGTTACTGTTAACGGTGATACTCGTCCACAAATTCAAATTATTCATAGGACTCAGATATAGCTTGAGTTTGGAACCAGCCGAATCTTTTCTTAATTCACCGTTCCGAGATTGTTTGAGAATTTATCATTTTTTCACAAATTGGCAATTTCCATTTTTGACTGAATTTCCGTGTGTTCAAAGTCCTTTGATATATGTACAGTAGTTACATTATCTGAATATCCACAGTAACAGTAGTTTACGATTCAAGCTGGCGGTGATCACATCAGAATTGAGCAAAAATGCACTCCCACAGTAAGTACAATAAAAGGAAAACGATGCTACTTATTATTTACCAATTTTAGTGTATTTATTGGGTTAAAACAGCTCGAGTTCGATAACCAGCCTGAATGGATTGTTTTTGTCGAAGTTTTTATTATTATTTTGTTTGTGTGAATTTTTCATTTTTCACCAATTAACATTTTTAAGGTGTGACTTTGAATGCCCATGGGTCTCCAGCACTTTACTAGGAACTGCGCAGTGCGACTTCGTGCATGTACCGCAAATACGCCTTTGTCCCCCGGAGTCCAGCCTCTGTTGCCGTTACTCCAAATGAACTTAGGGCGCATTCCCATAGATTTTAGATCGATCTATCCCCGTGGGGAGTCTCACTAGATTACTGTCAGATAATCCGGCTTAAATGTCCGTCCCGCCTACTACAAGCTGTAAGGGGGTAATTAACTTTCGTGTCCGCTCAGCTGACAGCTATTTAGCGTGAACCCCCAGGAAGTTAGGTCGATCTAGTTGGATCGATCTAATCTCTGGGAATGGGGTCTAAGAGTAGACGAATAAAACGTTTCTTTTGTTAAAGGTCCTCGCCCTCCTCCTCCATTTCCAAAATCCGTGATCCTTCAAACACTGGGGAAATAGCCATTGAACAGAAAGACTTCCCAAATCCCCGTCCAATACTGTTTGGTCTGATAAAGTAAATGAACCCCGAAATAGTTTCGAAGGATTATTCACTTTAGGATACCCGCCGTGCGAAAAATGTTAACTGCAGAGTAGAACTCTTCAAAACAACCGGCTGGTTCAAGTGGTAGACCAAAAAAAAAAATAAATAAATAAATCCCAAGTAATTTTATAAATCTTTTGAAATGATTCTTCATTTCAACGAAATCAAATTTATCACCGAATGAAAAAAATGTACAAGTATACATGCACGCCTGCTATTTAATAATTGCTTGTCGTTTTCTTCGCTGAGAAGTACCTTTTCATATTATTTCTCAGTTGTAGGCTAAGGTTTTAAGAAGCAGGCATATTCACATCGTTCTCGAGTGAAGGGAGACGACACTATTCCAGTTCTATGTCTGTCAAATTCTTAAGTGCATTATTGACATGGATGTAATAACGCACTATTCCCACTCACATTAATCTGAGTCAGACGTGGGTCCTGAAGGGCAACTTAAGCGGCTGAAGGCTAATCTTAAAAACCTCTGTAGATCAGAGAAAACAGAAGCTGTATATCGAGATACGAAGTTTGACCCGCCTAATTT